TGTGGCAATATTAGCAGAAGAAGAGGAGGTGGGCATTGAAGAGGAAGAGGCGCAATTATAAGTATAAATTACCACTAATAATATTATTAATTTCAAAAGATAAAAATATATATAAAAGATTAAAAGAATTAAAAGACCAGAATAAAAATATAAGATAAGATTTAAAAAAAAAAAAAAATAAGGATATGTTTCACTAGTTATCAGTATAATAATTATATTAAAATTTTAAAAGAAGATTAAAAATGTACAAGTTAAAAGATATAAAAAAAAAAATTAAGGAGAAGAAGGGAAAAGGCGTGGATCAAGCCAGCTTGGAAGTTCATAAATAGTAGGAGTATATTCAGAATAATTATAATCAGTATAAGGAGAATTTACAGCGGGAATTACAGGAGGACTATTATTAACATAATTAATTAGAGGAGGTTCAGTATTAGGAGGATTGGTAGAAGGAGTACTGTAGGGGGATAAAATAGCAGCATTTGCACGCTCAGCATGATTAAGGAATGGAATAAAAGTTGCTACAGTCAAACACTCATCTTCACCCCTTCTTGAAACATACTCAGCTATAGAATGTGCACGCAACAAATGATAATGATTATTAATTATGTTTGGAACTTCAAAGCCTGCTTCTTTAAATTGTCTGATTGTATCATCCAGGATCCTCCAAGAATGCCAATTCTGATAAGTTATATAATCAGTTTTCCACGCCAGGTTATGTTCATATAATCTTTCAAAAAATGGATCAGATGTAGTAAAGTTGGTTTCAATTGATGAAGTAATAGAGGGATTAGGGGAATCAGGTGCTGAAGGCGTGTTATTTAAATTAATATTATAAGGGTTAAGGAAATTTATTCTGATAGGAGTATTAGGCGTGTTTGGTGGAGGGTAATTGTTGGCAGGAGAATTAGGTACAGGTGAATTATTGGATGAAGGCGCTGAGGGGTAGGCTATTAAAATTAAATAAAGAAAAGACATTAAAAATTAGTAAAAGAATTAAATAAAAACATTGAAACTTATTATAAAGAAAAGAAGAAAGAAATAGAAGAAAGAAATTGGACTTACAGCATATTATTCCTAGACTATGGCATCTTTGGCAAGCAGGATTGATTTGATAGTGGCAGGAGGAGTTTACCATCCGGCATTTGACACAAGGTGAAGCTACAGAAGGTGAAACAGTGTTGACCATATTGGAAATAAAGGAAAATTCGAGAATTTAGTGATTTGGAGTGTTTAATTGAATTGTTTAATTGATAAACTGGGGGCAGTTTGGAAGAAGAGGAGGATGTGGTGATCAATTTATGGGATCAATTAAAAAATTCACAATTACCAGTTTACCAGTTTATTAGCAGGATTCAGCAGGAAAGAAAATTCGAAATGGAGGTTTTTGATCAATTGAAGCTCTTGTAGGCTTATGTATTGGTCATTAGGTCAACATTATATACATTATACATAAGATCATTATAGTTTACTTACAAACTTATTTCAAAAAGAAAGAAAGAAAAACATAAGAAAAATTTAAAATTATAGGTATAAAGGTTGGAAAATGGTTTTTAGGTTAGTAAAAATAAAGTTATGGGTATTATGAGGTTAGAATATGAAAGAACAACATTATATGATACTATGACAATTTTAATCTTCAAGGTTGATAAGTAGAAACAGAAGTTATTAGGAAAAAAGCACTTTTTCGAAGTTGGTAAACAAGAGGTACACGTGTAGTTTGGTTGTGTAATAGTGGTAGTGATGGAATTTAAGGTTGCCAAGAGGATTTTCCGGGATTTTTAAGGCTATAGATGATGATGTAATATTACATGAGCAAGAAAGGCTTAGTAGTAGCTGTGAAAAGTGAAGAAAATGGGTGAAATTCGTGGAAAATGGAGGTTTTCAGCTAATTACATATGTCAAATGACGTCAGAATAGGTTGGTAGATGGCTCATTCAACGCAGAAGAGTGGATTACATAATGTACAAACTTTAAATCATTAGTAACGGAGGTGTGTGTAAAAAGTTATAAGGCAAATAAAGAATTGGTGTGAATCTCGAATTTACAGTCACAAGTCATATGTAACACTAAAAACCTTAACTTCACAACTCAATATCTTACTCATCACTCATCATAAGTAGGTCATGTAGGTGTCAGAGATGATCAGTAACACGTGGACTACAAGATGCACTTTAGTAATCAAAAATTGAAGCACATCTGAAAAAATTCGTAATCTCAAAAATTGGTTTTCAGCTAGTTTACAAGGAAAAAATCACCTGTATTCATCATAAGAAGTGCTGTACATCATATTATTGCGTCATTGATCACTTTTAGCTGTGAAAATTACATCATTTATTAGTAACAAAACCATTACATTGCGTCATCATAGGGTTTTTAGGGAATTTTGGGCGGATTTGATTGGTTTTGAGGCTGTTGACCATTGTAAAAGTTCTAGTACATTGTTATATATACTTTGAGAGGGTTTTGGGACTGTTGTTCCCCTTTTTTTTCTTTATCATTTACGCCATTATTATTTTGTTTATCATCATAAACTTATTTTAATAGTACCTGTTCACTTAGGCCGCGTTCACTTAGGCCAGATTTCCAGAAAGCGCATTCTAGGTGACCGCTTTTCTACATGTAGAAAAGCGATTTTTGTAAAAAAACAAAATTTCACGTTTCATGACAAAAGAGGTCATGAAGCGTTTGATTAAAGGTGAAATTAAGGACGATTTTTTTGTTTGTTGATCCCCAGACAAACCCTTCGATCTGAAAAATCCCACTACATAAACCAATCATACATCCTCACTTTTGCAAATTGTTGATGCTCAATCCTTTCTTTCAATCCTTTCTCGAATTGAACTCAATCAGGTCTTTGTACCAGCATTATCTTCGACTAATCACAGCTGAAGTTTGATTGATCGAGAAAGATGCTTTGACGTCTATCAAAAAGACTGAACTGGAACTCAGTTTGAGTGAGAAACAGTGTTTAGCTAAATCATCTTATGACAGTAAAGCTCAAATGGCTATTTGCCTCACTTCCAAACGAAAATTAGATCAGGTTCCTGTGCTTGTATAAAGGTGACTTGGGTTGAGAATGAGATCAAGTGAGGATGAATCGAAGACGTTTTTTGAGGAGAGTGGTGGATGACGGATTTTGAGAGCTGTGTACGATGAATGGGGACTCGGGAAATATCTGAGGGGTCCTGTACAGTGGAAGGTACATTGTGAGATTTCAGGATAAGTTCACAAATGAAATGATAGGTGGGAAAAGTTGAGGCAGAATGCGATTTCGAGAGCAAAAAATGTGATATTATCGAATTCTTGAAAAGTGCCAAAAAAAGACTTTTTTCAAGCATTCTGTGATTTCAAGAATGCTTGTAAATAAGAAATCAAACGCATTTCACAGAATGTGATTTATCAACATTCAAGAAAGCGCTTTTTCGTGAAAAAGCGCTTAAGTGAACGCGCCCTTAAATACGCCCTTTATTACAGTTATAAAGAGAAATTTACTTTAGTTTTATAGTCATAAAGACTTATTGGGAATAATATCAATCAGATATTGCTTATTTTTTTTCAGTTATCAATTGGGAATAACACTATAGCAGTGTTGATAGTAATACAAAGTGTGCTTTTGAAGTTAAAATTACGTGTGAAGTTATATTTCTCTGGTGCCTTATCAGTACTCAATACAACAGAGCTCTTTCTGATTGTGTTGTTTTAGAAGAGCAGTCCTTAGACAACGTCTACTAGTCATTTTATTAGTAGATTATCCTCTTCCAGCTCTGTATAACCCTTGTTGGGTTATAAGTTCTACAACGGTGAGAACATTTCTCACCATAATAGCGGGGTTCAAGTCAAAAATTCCAAGTAGGAATTTTACAACATCCGAGAGAGTTTTTTAGGACAAATTTTACCTAAAACCAACTTGGACGTCGTAAGAATGGTTTAAGAATAGGCCACTACGTCTTATAAAGAGAAGAAGACAAGCTTTGAGACAAAGGTACAAGTGCTGGAAAAAAGTGCATTTTATCTGCTGTTATGGACTCAACAAGAGAGAAGGATATGAAAAATGACCATTAGGGAAGAAAAAAAACTACTTGTACGCCTTTTCTTGAAACAAAAAAAGACGGTATTTTTTTCTCAATCCAAAAAAAAATCTATTGTCTTAAAATTATAGGCATTGTTGTATAATTTTAGACCTTGCAAGTAGCTCTAAAGCTACTCGCGCAAGTCATAAAACATGAGTCATAATTTACGACCTTCGAGCAATGTCTAAAAGCCATTTAGGGCCAAATTATTTTGACTTGAACCCCGCTAATGTAAAAGTTGCATTAAATGATTAATGTGACTTTTTTTGCCGAAGTGGGTGATAGGTATCAAAGGCTGAGCACCTCAGCGCAACAAAAAATGTGAATTGAAGAAATTTTGAAGAAATTTTGGGGATATCACAAAAGCTTCCTCTGCTCACATCAATGTGAGCTCCTATTTGCCCCCCTGTGTCTTGAAATGGCTTGAGTACCCGAAGACCGCCAAGTACTGATAAATAAGGCCTGCACCCGGCCCGCCGGGCGGGCCCGGCTGGGCTAAGCCCGAATGACTCAAACAGTAAGTGAGGCCCGTGAGCGGTTCGCGCTCCAGCCCGTCGATGGGCTGGCTTGCCGGGCTAGACGGGCCAAAAGTGTCCCAAAGGAGGCGGGAACACCAGGCTTTCGGGAGGACTCAGACACTAGTGTCTTGAGGTAGACACTAGTGTCTTTCACCCATTGGTACATGTCCCTGTGAACGTCCCCTCGGCCTGTCACCGAGCTTATCCATTCCCAGACACCCTCTTTGACACCTTCGTCCGCACCTTTCCCACAACTCTTCCGTGTTGAACATCCCCTGTGAAGCATACCACCCAAAACTCGGGATTACCGGACGTACGTGACCCCGTCCCGTACCTCACCCATCTGCATCACTTCTCTGTACGCGTTCTTGCTTACCACAACTGTTCCACCCACCACCAAAGCTTGTCAACAATGAAGAAGACACCAAAACCTATCTACATCGACTCTAGTTATCACCGCCTGAACCCATCTCAACCTCTCCCACTTCCATTGTTGGGTCGCTCAACGGGTTTGACCTGCCCAGCTTGTTTCTCGCTGGGTCACCAGACCACACCTCTGAAATACCTGACCCAACTGTCCACATGTTGGCGCGTAGCCGTGAGTTTACCATATTCACTGTTTAAGTGTGTCAGCCTCACTCAACTAACCTACCTATCATTTCTCTCATTTCCAGTGCTCCTTGAAACCACCACCTGGTGGTGGCCATTACTACCGCTCCTGGAACTTTACCCAGCTCAATCACGAGATCGCGTCAATCAACGAGGGCAATTGGCCCCCAAAACCATATCAGCCTCGTCAGCCCGCCGCCGCAAACCCAATTCCAATCCCTGACGAAACCAACGAGCCTCTTGCCATGTTTGCAAGCCAGCGATTGATCGAGCAAATTTTCCGACCAACCACTTCGACATCTCCAGCAGGATCTCCCAAGAAGAGTGACGCTATTACCTGCCGAGGCGTTGACGGCCGTACTAGCGCTCATCTACCTACAGAGGCACGCCAGGGAAACAAGCGATGCCGTTATCGCGCCTGCGCTTCGGTCAGTACTTTGTGTCCTCCAAAAACTAGTGACCTCCAAACTAATGTGTGTTAACTTACGGTGCCAGTGCTGTAACACTCTAGGAGACAAAGACCGTATCTGTCCAGCCAAGGGTCACGTGTCAAAGCACGAAGGCAACTCCGGCGCCACCAGTACAGCTCCCAACATACATCCTGTCCTTAAACGTCTTGAACGTGTTTCCCCCCCTATTTCAGAGAATTGGAGGACTGTCGGAGGTTGGGAATCGCGGGAATGGGAATGGGCTGTATGAGCCTGTACTCACCGCCATGTTTCAGTTCAGAGGTTTAGGCTGAGAAGCACATACACATCCTTCTTTGTAAACATTCGTCCCATCGGCCGGCATAGAAACCATACCTTGCATATGTTTTTAATGCATTTTGAGTACAACAATGGAGTGTGCGACATAAGCCTACATTACATTTCGATAATCTTGACCAGACCCATCATAACATCAAAATCAGAGTCTTCCAAGTTCTTCAGATGATTTCTCTGACTTAAGTTGAGTTATAGGGGTTGTAAAGGGTTGATACATATACACGAAGCCAACGGTGTGGCGCTTTGTTGGATGTTTCAAAAGAAAAGTGCAGACCAATTGGGTGTTGACCAACTCCTGTATGCCCATTCATTCATACAGCTCCCATTCCCATTCCCATCCCATTCCCAATCTCCGGCAATCCTCTGGTGCTCCCCCCTATTTCAACTGGCGCAACTCCTTGGGGGGGGCCAAATTGCTGCAAAACATGTTCCTTTACCACAACATAGGTGTCTCCCACCACAGAGCGCGCAGAGTGGCGCTCGCGTTGCACATGAATTGGACATTACACAGCTTGGCCATTTCTTTGACCTACGTAAAGAGCGCACCGAAAACTTCAAACGACATCAACGAGTGGAAACTGACGAGTCAAAGGTGGTCAAAATCATTGCATGGCTTACTGTAAGCACCGACATTCCTTCATTTGTGAGGGACTTGGCAGGCCAATGAACTGAACTGACCAAATACTTTTTCCAGGCTGGTGAAGCGCCCAAGATGTACTCGTTGCTGGCATTGATCCAGGTTGGCCAAAGTTCAGCCTGGATCAATGCCAGCACCTTGTTAACGAGGCTGCTGTCATAGAAGGGCTTTCAAGTGATGACGGTTGGTCCCGAGCCTTGTCAATCTGGGATCCCACGTTAGAAGGATGGGTGCGTGCGAGAACGTTACCTCCAACTTCCACTACGTTTGTCGCTGATTGATTTGTACGATTTCATTTCCAAAGTGTACCCTTTCGATTGATGTCCTTTCCCGTTTTCCCTCCGCACCCCGTCAAATCCTGGTCAGACGCGCCCAACTCAAGGATGAAGACTGTCACCGTTTCTACCACTTCCTCAAATCCACCTACGATACGGATACAGCGACTTCCTTTGCGACAGTGGGAACAACTGGACCACCTATGGCTGCCGCAGGGCCCTTGGCTTTGAAGGGAACACTTGCCTCTTCTCCGATATCAGGATTGGTCAAAGACGATGATGAAATCATTGTCGTCGGTGAAGTGGGACCCTCTTCAACGGCAGAGCAGCTCCCGGCCAAAACAACCCCAAACCACATGAACGACGAAGCGGTCCAATCGTGAGTACGTCACCTACTTTTTAATTCAGAAGGTCATAAAACTAATCACTGCCTTTATTCAATAACAGACGCCAGATTTGGACCATCCAGCCAAATCGACCTGGCCAGATTTTGAGGCGCCAATGAGTCATCTCTTGGAATGGCTACAGTTGTTGAAAACTGTGCCGAGGCTACGTGCGTGGGACCGGATGTTTGCCGCCCGGTTCAAGAGAGGAGACAGGACAGTTTATCGGCACGCCAAATGGCTAGACGCCCTTGGGGAAGACAGGCTGCGGGAATGGGAGCAGCTGCAGATCAGTCATTCCAAACCAGTCACGATCGGAGCTCTTCGCCAAAGTTTTCATAAGGAATATCTTGCAGCTTCCAAACAGCCACAGCCAGACCCAACCGTTAAAAAACGCAAATTGGGTGAACGTGAATGAGCAATTCTTAAACTTCCTATCTGTTTTGGAAACTGACTCCCTCTCCGTCTGTGCCCCACCCACTTCTCTTGTTATTGTTTCTCAAGAACGATCTAAATGGATCATCAAGTTGTCTCTCTGTAACATCCGTCTGTGCCATTGCGATACAATCAACCGGAAATCTGGCTTAGTACAAGTCCAATCGTCTAGCAAAAAGATGATTTTCACAGGGAAGTACACGCTTGAATGCCAGCGTTTTAGAGAAGGCAATTATGACCACAAGTCTCTTTACCCCTGGGGACTAACTACAAGCAGAGTGCGCACAAATATCCACCTAAAATAGCAACATTTAATCTTGCTTACAAAGACAAATGGTGCCATGAAACAAGCCAGGGGCGCTACCTTGTCTAATCTTTACCAACACCCTTTCTTTACCTCCCACTCTCACGCCCTCAAATATCAATCAACTTCACTCTGTCAACTACGATTCAGTCCCCACCATCCATCTTCGTATTTCTCATTCATCCACGTAGTCGAGCGCAATCACTTCTTCCAGTTAGTCAGTCAGTCAACCTGTGCCTTTTTCATTTCATTCACTTATGTTTAGCCCGTAGGCTGACATCCCATTAAACCCCCTATCTCTTTCCCAATCGGTCAGTAGTTATGGATCCAGCTGAAGAAATCACCGCCCCACCAACGTCCTCATTCACCCTTGCCACACCGGCCTCGCCTGACCCATCTGAGCAAGACCCAGACGAACAAAGCACCCCCGTTGCCGAACAGATTGGTCAACCCCCAACCATCACCTTGCACTATGTTTGCGGATTTGGTCAGCCGTGATGTTGATTCTCCAATTCTATTTGGTTGGTTGATTGTTATCTTTTGACATTTACGTACAGACCCCTCAGGCCTTTCTGCGGTTAGCAGTTCCTACGATACGCACGAGTTTGGTCAACGGGGTCTTCCCATCCTGGTACCATCCAACGTTGCCTTAGGCCACAACGTCACCATGTTTCACATCTGTCCTGACCCAAGTGACATTGATAATGACATTGGCTACCGTTTCAAGAACCAATCTGCCCACATCACAATAGGTCAGTTCGTGCACGGATGGGACTTACGGTCGACTTTCAGAGCCACACTATCACGTGGCGACTTGATGGTCCCCATGGGAGTGCGAATCTTTGACCACCATCAACACGCCCTCCGCGATTACCTCAACATAGCGCAAACCAACCTGCATGTTGCGGTATCAATTGAACGGTTCTGTAAAGACTTCCTCAGCCGTGTTGACCCCAACTTTGTCACGACCGATGAATGGAACGTGTTGGAAACTTTGCGGGTGAGTTATTTATCCTCCCACTGTTCCCGCTGTTTATTTCACCCCACTCAAGACTAAACTATCTTTTGTTCTTGAATGTCTGAGTAGTTCCAGGAGGAGATGGTTGGACATATGCATGAACCAATTCCTTCTCCATACGGTATTTACAAAGCCTTCACAGCCAAAGAACTTATTGAAGGGCCGAGGGATGTGTACAGCCTGGACCAACGCTTTTCCCCGATATATCTCCACCTTTCCAGCACCACCGCCTTGCACCAACCATTCGAACATTGCTCAACACTTTCTCGCATTGGAGTTATCATGCCAGCAGCGGCCGGAGCTTCATCACGGGTTTGCGGGGGGTAGGGACCGTGATTACTGAGGCTGTGGTGCATGACCTCGAGTAAGTACAAAGCTCGTTTGTATTCTTCTTACAGTTCTTGGTGCTGACAATAGCCATTTGGGGTGATTCAGACGCGTGAACTGGACCCATTTGAACATGGGGGAGGGTGCTCTGGCCCGCTTTCCACAAGCACACGTATGTAGTAAGTTTTGCGAGCTTGTAGGACTTGCGGCACTACCTCTCGTCAGTCCAACATGCGTAACCTCTTGGACGTTCTGGGAACCCGCTGTGTAAGATGTGGAGGATGAAGAAGCATTTGAGCAGGCAAACTGAAGAAAACAAAAACTCTCTCGCCAATCAAGATCAGAAAGTCTGAATTCCGGTCACATTCAAGTCTTTGATTGTTCGTGTCATGTTTGTATCTATCCCCCACTTGTGTGTGACCGTGTAATCAAATGCCATATCCATATCCTTTGTGCCCAACCGCGCGAAAACAATGATTTAAAGCAATGAATTGAATTTGGTTGCGCGGCATGTGATCTTGTGATGTTGTAATGTATTCCGAAATAGTCACTACTTGAGTGAAGTCAGTTACACTGCGAGTGAACAATAGTCAGTCAAAGCAATCTTGAGCTTTGAGTATTTGTTTTCTTCGACAAAGACCAAATTAACTAATTAATTGATCCAAGCACCTTTACGTTCCTTTACCTTCAATTTGATTGATTTGTTTGTTCTTATCTTCATGAATGTGAATGGAAAGATTTATGTTTGAAAAAAGAGCGACATGATGATCCAAGAAAATCCTTGAAGATTGTTGTTCAATCAAGTTGACAAATGTGGTGTTTCTTCTCTTCAGCTAAAACAGTGCTGATTGGGACCCGCCTGCCATTCATTGTTTGTTCACAAGCAATCGGTTCATTGTTTAGGCTCACTGCCTCAACAATTGATTTGGTTGAAGTGCAAATCATCTCATCGTTTTGTTCATCAACAACCTGTTTTTTGATTAGGCTCACTGCCTACAAACAACATTGAGATGGTGGAGATGACTTGGATGGCATGAGAACCTTGGGCTGTTTTGAGTAGTAGGTTGTTAGGTTGTGGCAACAGAAGTATTTATATGGATTGATACAAACTATTTGCTTATTATTTCATTTTAATCAATTAGTTTGTTTGACAAAGTAAAAGTCAAGCTTTTGCGAGCAGCAAAGCTTTGTCTGGGGGAAAGCACATGTTCTACAAATGTTCTATCCTCATCATGCCGTCATTTATTGGGGCTCATTACTTCTGAAATAGGTACAAAGGGCATGATGTATATTTATCATTATTTATGATAAGATGTGCTGCGTATATGAACACTAAGATCCAAAAGTTTTTTGTGGGAGGGACAACCAAAAGTAAACACAACACACCATTTTGAGCATATTGACGGAGGGAAAAGGGAGAAAGGAGAGTTTAAATATTTCATTGTCGCAAGTCTCCTAAGAATGTGATGTTCTCCCTCTTCAATAGCCTCCGAATGAGCCAATCATTTCGCCGCTTGATCATATCTTCCATCATGAAATTGAAACGGATTGGGTGCATATTCCTTGCAAGTGATGCGAAACCGCTGTACCACACATTGGTGCACTCACCGGCTGAGGAGTTGAAATACCATCCATTGGCATCTCGAAGTTCTGGGAAGAGCTTTGGGTCCGTATAATGCTGACAGAATTCATCACTCTCCTTGTGCGAGCGGAAATGAAAGGGGTCGACGGGAATCACGGTCTTCATGAAGGGTGTGAAGTCGTTACCTCCATGGTATATATGATCCACCAGCTTACATGCATTGTCCTAGAAGCATACCCCTGGCAATTTCTGCGGGAATGTACGAAGTAAAAAATCCTGTCTTGACAGCCCGCTTCAGTCAGTTCTACCCATTGTCGGTTATATTAGTAACCCAAATGACTCACACGTACTGCACTGACACCCTCTGAGTGATAGAACGTCTCTCTAGCCAGTATGACGCCACAGGTGCCCACACAGAGCTGGTCATTGTGGGTTCGGGCTCAAGAGAGGCATATTCGCAATGGGACCGTGTCACCACCTTCACGACCCTGCTCATGCAGGCGATTTGCTTTGTCACCTTGTTGAATGTCTTCAAGGCCCACTAGTTCCGCCGTGTTCCAGTCTTGATGTACGGTGGGATCTGAAGGGAGGTTGGAACCGGGTTGGTTGAGCATAGAGGTCAGAGCAAAGTTGGAGGTGATGTGCGCTTTGAATTTGGCATAAGCAGAGATATGCTCTTGTAGGTGACAAGTGGCTTCTCCTTCGGCCGCGTTGTTTTTGCATGGTTGGGCTACACATAGCTTGGCGAGCCGATTGTGGTGGACAGGGCAAAACCTATCTGACATACGGGCGAGAGGTGTTGTACACGGTCCATTGGGCGCAGGCAGGCCCTCTTCATTAGCGATTTGGCGCAGCTGTTTGGGTGTTGCAGTGCATCGCCAGTGACCTATGGTGATCCCGTCCGTCACGACCGCGCGGATGTCTAAATATGACCAGGACTCATCAGCGATCTTGTTTAACATATACATAAAAAGATTGGGTGTAACGCTTACAACCGATCTTTGGAGCTCCGTCTTTGCTTGGGAGGGGTAGAATTTGTACGCACGCAGAGCATGCATGATTGCAATGCTTGCTGCCCTCTAGGGCAATCCATTCGAGCACGGCTTGCATTGCTTGGTGATAGCGTCGATCTGCTGGGATTGTGGGAGAGGTGTCCACCCTCAAACAGGTGCCGGCCTCATCACATTTAGTGAGCAACGAGTTGATATCCAAGGCATCTTGGCAGGTCACTTCTGAGAGATCTGGTAGGATTGTTGGGGCACCGTGGAGTGAGGGGATTGAGACTCGATCAACATAGCACCGGTTGAATAGATTTGCCAGGTTGAAGTTGGAGATGCTGTAGCTCGAAGATTGTGTGTATCAGTTTCAGCAACTTCGGCGTTCGTTTAAATGTAAACATAGTGGGTACTTACTGGGCAAGCATTGAACCTTCTCGGAGTAGCTCCGCCAGTTGGTGGGTCATGAAGAAATGACAAGAGACCTGAAATGTCTCACGGTTGCGTCCGTTGTTTGAGGAGAAATAGGTGCGAATGCCATCCTTGGAGTGATAGCTCGGTCGATAATGAGTTGAACAAGCTATTGCGTTTGGGTGTTGGTGTTTTGTGGTCAGCATAGGTTTTAACAATTATAATAAGCTTGATGTGCTCGCTCACCCGGACATTTAAGAGTGACAATTCCAATGGTATGGACACCGTCCACGTCGTAGAGGTATCCGTTGATTCGAGAACGCATATGCAACTTGGGCGATGTTGGACACAGCAAGCAATGTTTGACGGGCGAGACAAGGAAGTATTCAGGGATCCAGAGGTCCGGTTGATAGCCAAACTCTTGGATCAAGATGGTAGGTTTTACTTGCATCGCGGGCAAGAGGTGGCGGGTCATGTGCCAAAGGTGGTAGCACGTGTCGTTGGGGAGTGATAAGTTCAAGGCCTTGCGTAGGAAAGGGACGATCGCATCGGCTTCCTTGCTGAAGGTTCCCTGCGCGCGTTCAGTAACCTCGGCAGCGAGTGCGATAAAGCGGGAGAAATCGCAGATATCAAGGGATGAATGAAGGTCCGGGTAGTCTGCTTCCAGTATCTCGACGAAATCGCGCAGAAGCATGGTTTGGTGTTGTGACGTGGTGGGTGAGTTGATTGAAATGGAATGGGAGGGTGATAACGGTGTGAAGAAAGAAAGTTCAGTCTGATGTAGCGGGTCCTTGGTGTATGGGATATGCCCCGTCCCCGTGGGCGATGGGGCGCGACGAGGTGAAATGTATGATGATCACATTTCACCGCGAGTGTTGAGCAAGTTGCAAAGGTAGCGACAGGTCGATGCGAGTGTTTCATCAGAGGGTGATAACCCATGAGTTTATGGGTTATTCGTGGCCCAGAGTGTCTGAGACAGTGTCTGAGCTCAGACACTCGGACTCCTCCCAAAGGCCAGGACCTCTGAAGGAGGCCTGGTTCATTTTTTCAGCGCAATTTGTGTTTTTTTCAGGCTGATATACAAGCAATCCAATATAACAAATTTTTTAAAGTAGTTTTTTGGGTTGTTTTGCTCGAGTTGATTTTTTTTTTATTTCTTAATGACGATACCGGGCAGCCCGTGGCCCGCCCAAACTTCCCGCGGGCGGATGGCGGGCCGGGTGCAGGCCTTACCAGTGATAAATGCGTGTACGGTACTCGGCCCGGCCACATCCATCTGTGAATTGATCGATGGTCAAAATTTATGCGACTTGATCCAACAAAGAGCCTTCAGCAAGTCTCCCTTCATAACTTCAGCCCAACTTAAGCCATCACTCAACTCTGACACGCGTCGAAGGAATCAACATTGAATATCAAGTCAAACCAAATTTGTACTTCCGCCGTTCAAGAACCCGGGCTGCTGCGCTTCAGCCGTAGATATCGATCGTTAAAACTACTTGCAAGCCCAACGATATTTGTCATCCAACTCTTCAAGAACAGTTAACGAAGATCAGTTTTTGTCTATAAAGTGTTCTTGAAATATCTTCGATCATCAGGCAATCACTCTAGTCGTTCTCCTTTTCAAACTTTGCGCCGCGGCCTGTGTCGTCATCACTTTTATCCTTTCACCTTCTTGAATTTCAGCGATGTCAAGTCGTAAGCGGCAGTCGAATCAGTCACCCGAGCGAACGAAGACGCGTATTCTCAGTGGCGTCAATCTTCCACAGCTCAGAATATCACAAAAGGGAGAGTATGTCAAGAAAGATGCACTTTTACGTCGTCGGAAGCAGAGACAGGCAGTGGAGGAAAAGAAGAGGAAACTTCTTCATCACAGGCTGAATCCGAAACCCCCATGGCCAAGCAACTTCCTTGGAAGTATTTCAACAACACCGTTCATGAAAAACTTTAAAGAAGGTATCGTCTTCTTGGTTTTCTTGTGGCGCAATATGTGTGGTTTTTTAGAGAAACCTGATGACCTGAAATTATACCGGATTCAAGACTTCGATCATTATGATTTGAAAGTTGGAGCTGAATTTGGTCCGTCATCCCTCTCAAATGCGGCCGTAGTGTCTGATTTGGTTGCTTATACGCACTTGCTCATCTAGGATTATACGATCAGGATCTTCGTAGTAGTATTCTCAAAGTGAGTTTGGTCTATATCAATCAAGCCGGACTTAACACCAACAAGGGATTTGCATGTCCCGTCTCGTGATTCGTATTGTGTGATGGTCACAGTACCCGCTTTTCGACGATCTACTGCGAACATCGAAAGCGTCTTGGGAAAGGTACTACATAGTTTACAAATTACTTGGGTCTTGAGTATAACTTAACTCATCACCTCTCCACGGTTCCAGTCCTAGACCGCCAGAACCTCGCTTACCTACCTACCAACAATTACGTGATCGTGAGACACAAATTGACCAAAAGTTCAAGTCTGTCAAGAAACGGAAATGGAGACCTCGCTTGGAGAAAGATAAGATGGACCTAGTGAGTCATTCATACATGTGATATGACGCTTATGTTTTTACTAGCAAAGTTATTTGAATATTGACGGGCTTGCCACTTTCACTTATCATCCGCTTTTGATACGATTAGGTGAACGCAACCTTGAAGAAACCGGGTGACATTTCTTCGCTTCCAGGGGCATCTTGTCATGCTCACGATATTCGAAAGTTAGAACCGGGAACCTGGATGAATGATGAAATTTGTACTTTCTATGGTGTGATGATCAACATCAGAAGTACAGAGCATGAGAAATTGAAAGCAGATCCTACGTACGATCCGAAAGAAAAATTCCTGCGGGCCCACTGTTTTTCGAGTTTCTTCATGCCCAAATATCAGAAGGAGGGTTTCACAGGAGTCAAGAGGTGGACTAAAAAAGTCAGTTTCAAGAATTTGCCAATCTTCATGCCTTCTGAGCCTTTGTAGCTCATCTTGTTCATTTGAAAATTTCTTCAACACAGGTCGATCTTTTCCAAAAAGACGTGGTGATATTCCCTATCAACCTGAGGAATGTCCATTGGACTTGTGCTGCCATCAATCTCCGACAAAAACGCTTTGAGTTTTATGACAGTATGGGTCACAACAACGAACTCGTACTCGAGGTAAGCCGATCGAGTCTTAAAAAAATGTAATCGTTTTGGACTGAGATCATGGTCACACAGTGCCTGAAAGAGTACATTCAAGCCGAGCATTTGGCCAAGCGGAACGAGCCGATGGACATGTCAGAGTGGACATTCGCTAAAACGGTACGCTCACCTCACCTCTGACTGAACCTATGTGGTCTTGTTTGATATTGTTTCATTCAATGACCTAGAAGTGATGATCAAATATGAACTGATCAGATTTGGCGATTCTAATCATGGTATGTGAACTAACTTTGCACAGGATCCTCCTCGTCAAAACAACGCATACGATTGTGGGATCTTTATGTGTCAGATTATGGATTGTTTGAGTCGAGATTGGGGAGGAGGGGACACAGTTTTCGATTTTTCTCAGGAAAACATGCCTTATATGCGGACGAAGATGATCTATGAAGTAGGTTTTCTCGATCTTCTTTCCTTAGCTCTCAGCTTAAACTGTTGTTACATGACCGAATTTTCGCTAAACCCTCATGACACTTCTCTTCTACTTACCGTAGATTGTCACGCGCAAGTTTCTAGAAGAGGAATGGAAATGATGTGTGATGTGAGTAGAGTTCAGGTCTTCTCATCGAAACCGGTGGTTTACCAAAAATCATCAGGATTGCCGGATGCGGGCACGATAACGATCAAAACTTTAGAATCTAGAGTGTATAAAGAATTACTTGCATTATATTGTCCAGGAGTCAGTCAACACGGCTATCTATGAAGCTTGGTCAACGTGGTTGTTTTAATAACTTTTCATCGATATGAGGCGGCGAAACGATACTTCTGATGAAGGAGTCGAGCGAGATGACCCGTTGGTTCATCGGTGGGACCATAATTATGAGATGTAGGGTAGCGTTGGGTAATAGTTGTACTAAGAATTTGGGTTTGTCTTTCGAAAGTAGATATTTTAACATTTAGTTGGGTAAACTTTGGCCCCACCGTGGTGTTCCACCCTATCCAGTGAGAGCAGCGGGGTAACATTTCGAAGACATCATCGTTGGACTCGGTCACGCCAAAAATCAATAAAAATTTGCTTTCACTTTTTTTTGAGCTGTAGTCTCTGATGACTGAACGTTGAGATGAGAGAAATATCAAAAATCAAAGCTTCTGATGGGCTTGATCAATAAAGTAGACCTTGAAGAAGACCTCAGGTCAGGCTTCAAAATTGTTTTTGCTCTCTGATCCCTTCGTTTCTGATGTGGGAAAGAAATCTATCACTGTTGAGATCCTCCGGACTACCTTTTTCATCCACTTCAAGAAGTCACATCAATTTTTGAACGAGTTAACTTGATTTCGCCTTCATCGATTCAACATTAGAAAGATCATTCCCATGCTTTACCGTGATTGTTTTTAAAAGTTCGCAAGCATCAATGAAATTCCAAAAGAATTGTTAATTTATGAATCATCAAAGAAAACTGATGTCTTGTAAACGGAATTGAGAGAAAGTAAAGAAAACTGAACAATAAGGGTACACAAACCTACAACCCAACATGAAAACCCATGTAAAAAACCCGTGACAACCCATCTGAATTTCTGATTTTTTTGACGGGTTTTTTTTAAGGGTTGCCCTCGAAAGGTTTGAGCGCCCCAACCCAACCCATCCCATCCCATCCAAGATGTAGCAACTCTCAGCCGCGAGCAACTCCTGTCAATTCTTGTTCTACTTCACCTCTCTCTTCTTGCATCCACCTTAGCCATAACTCCACCCAATACCCTTTCCTTCAAAACTTGATTGCTTGTGTAATACATGTCTTTTCAAATCGAATCGATTTATTTCAATGACTTGAAATTGCACAATTTGAACCAAACCCGTGTCAGACAGACGGACAGAGATCTTTGAAGTAATAAAAAAAAGCATCATAACACACACAATTTCTTTTTAAATTCAAAGACTTCTTTGAAGCCTTCGGAAAGAGAAACTGCGAGAAATGAGACGAGTTGGATATCCTCAATGATCACATAGTACTCGTTTTAAATTTATTTTGATTGATCTCGATTTCTTTTTAAATTCAAAGGTAATTTTTTGAAGCCTTCAGAAACAGAAACGACGAGAAATGAGACAATTTGGATATCTTCCATTGACAATAACCAAATTGTACTTGATTCAAGTCAATTTTGATCGCTCTTGATGTCCTTGATCACAATAATGGGCCCTTGGCCGTTGCCAACCCGCTGGAGAATGGGTAACATTTGAAGGAGGCAGAGTTGGTGTGGAGATGAGATTATTTTGTGAATTGATTTGGATGTGTGGTGTTGGTGAGGAAGGGGTGAGTCCATGGGTAATGATTTTTTCCAACGGGTGATCAGATTTGGCCAATTTCAACCCATCAAAAAAAAACCGTCAAAAAAATCAAAAATTCAGATGGGTTGTCACGGGTTTTTTACATGGGTTTTCATGTCGGGTTGTAGGTTTGTGTACCCTTAATGCTATTAAAATCAACAGAAAAACCAAAAATCCTACAAGAATTATTGTGTTGTACATGAATATATCAATCTTTATGCTCTACATGCTATTAGCCTCTATGCATCAACCCAAGAGGAAACTATCCAAAAATAAATCAAGAATTGAAGCTAACCCATAAAGTCTTCAAATATAAATTTCCCAAAACTATTCCTGATCATAATATCAATCTCCTAGCCTTGTCCATCTAGACTGAAATGGTAAAAGTATAGATTCCTTAATATTATTGATTTCGTACATTGAGATTGGTATAGCATCACTACTTCCATCTTCAGAATTGTATCCCATAGTCTTAGAATTCCATTTCTTTCCTTCATCCTCAAGTCTTGATTCCCATCCTAGATTTTTTTGTAATTTAAATCTATGATGAACTTCTGATGAATGAGTTCTTCTCTTTGCCATAATACCTGTATTAGTTAACCTATCAGAAAAATCAAATGAAATTAATTCTTCTAATTGTTTAGATTTCTCAAAATAAGGTTTAGAATAATCAAAACATCTTTGAAATTTATTTTGTTCATTTTCATCTTGATCATTAAGCCCAGGGTTTGAAAAATTTAGTGGGATAGGTGCATCTGCATGATTGAATATGAATTGTTTTAATTCAGTTAATTTTGAAATTAAATTGGATGAATCCACCTAAAAAAAAATATGATCAATCAAGAAGAAAAATCAATAATCTTTTGAAATTTTACAGAAGGTATAAAAGGATATGATCAAGCTTAAATAAATTTATAACTTACCTTTAAGATCTTTTCATTTTCATCATATTGATCTCTAAAATGCATTCCAAATCTAAACACCTCAATCCTTGAAAACTTTTCCCCAATAGCCATCAATAATCTTTTACTACTTTCAGGTGACCTTAATCCACCTAAGATTTCTAAATTCTTAATTGATGATTTTGGATCAAGTTCACTAATGATCAAACTACTAAACTCACTAATATGTAATGAAAGTGAATGAAGTTGATGTGTTTGATTAATCAAGTCAATCCAATTAGGTTGGATCTCATTAATTTGTAAAGCTTTAAGTGATTTTAAAACATTGATTTTTTTAATCCTTTGATCAAGATTTTGTATACTGCCATCTTTGGTATACTGATGATCAGTTTGAGGTAGATTAATAGTTAATGATTCTAGATTTTCATTAATCCCTTCTTCTAAGAGATTTAAAATCATTTCATCATTGATTTTATCTAAACATAAATACCTTAGATTATTAAATGATTTAATCAATTTAGTGGTTGAAAACATTAAATTTAAAAAATGGTTTGATTCTTTTAATCTTTGATAGGATTGATTGGTAATATAAACCCAATTTACATTTTCAATACCTTTCCATTGGTTTGAAAGCTTATCAAGTTGATCAATGGTCTGCAAAATCAATTTTTCTTCTTCTTCTCGACAATCTCTTCTTCTTAATCCATTCCTAGTATAAAATGATCTAGATGAAATAAAATAATTTTTTAAATGATGTCTATTCTTGATGGGTAGATTAATGATGAATTGTTTTTGATAAATCCTTTCACATATCAAATGTAAAGTTTTACAAGTTTTACCAAAGTTGACTAAATTATCAAATTCTAAATGATCAAGATTCATTCTTTGTCTTTGATGATGATGATGATGAGTTTTGTCTTTCAAACTTTTAGTCCTTGATGAATTCAGACATAAATGTATACCAATCAAAGTGATTAATTCTGTTGGAAGGTTTAAAATTCCTTTGGTATTTTGGTTTGTTAAGTTAGTTTTGAAGGTTAAAGTTTTTGGATCTTCTTCTTTGGAAGCTTGATCTTTTATGACCTTGTTGAATGGTTGACTTTGAATCCTGGATTGAACCTCCAGCATCTTTCCTTCCAACATTCACGGTGAAGCAACCTTTGCTGTGTCTAGAGAGAATCCAATAAAATCTAGGTTGATATGATGCAGCAACCTATGTATATTTTTATTTCGAAATTAATGGAATAACTTGAAAGCAATTGCGTTGGAATAAATCCTAGAACTTCAAGACGAAGAAATCTTGATGTTCTATAAGAAGAATTATGAAATCTTCTTACAATTATCAGGGAGAATAATTGTGTAATCAAAAGATGAGCTCTGTTTCTAATAATAATGTTCAAATGACTTCTTTCTATAAAAAATTTAAAAAAGACGTTATAATCTCAAAGATATGAAGCGGAAATCAAGCATCACTTTTTTTCAATCATAAGCTTTCAACATATTTTTTTTGTTCATACATTTCATTCACTCAGTTACCCAGATAATATTATTAATCTCATCATCAGTCAGTCAGTCAAGTTCTCTTACACGATTTTCTTTTTCTTATTGAATTGATCATCATTAAATGAAACGAGTGTCAAGGATTCGATATCACTGATCAGACAAATGATCCAAAATCCAATAATAAAAAATCATTATCATTTTTTGGTTGTGTTGTAGTTGTATACAATTTTCACGCAGTTTTGAGTTTTTCTTTTTCTTTTCTTGCATAGTGACTGAGAGAAAAATGATAATCGTGGTATCATATTGATGATGTGTCTTTTATTAATTTTCAATCGATACACATCTTTTGAACTTCGTTGTTCGACGTTTCCCATAACCGCAATGTGTAACTTTTCTCCAGTAAAACTTCACACTCAAAGTCATCCCGTCCGCTCCGATCAATAATTGGTTTCCTGATCTCAATGTGGTGATCATGAGATCAAACATTATCAAACTTCGGTCTGCGCTGATTGTCACCTATTGAATTATTCAAGGTTCTTCAACAAGCCCACAAAAGAGCCTTGTTCGAGTTGGAAAAATGCCTAAAATTCAACTGGCCATACATGTAGTGCTTGAATTTCAATGTTTTTAAAATTCTATGGGAAAGCCTGAAGCACATTCCGATATTGTAGCGATTTACTCCAAAAACAACTATGAACGGCTAGGAGGGCAAAGTACAGAAAAGTTACACTTTTTGCCAAACTTGAACCCGCCTATTGACAAACTCAACCAAGTCCCAGCAGTCAAACACTTCTTCCTCGCAAGTCCAGGTGTCTGGTGATAATAACAAGTGAAAATGCAAGTAAAGCATCAAATTATCATCACAAAAAAAAACTCAAACATATAAAAAAAAAGTCAAGTTGAAACAAACTCTATTATGTACGTAGGTTCAAATCCTCAAAAAAAATGAATGCCTTTTGATCAATTAACATTCAAAGAGATCGATGGGACTCCGCAAAAAAAAATTCAAAGCATGCATCATAAAGAGATTTGATCGAGAATACAAGTTTTTTTTTCTCACTACATCCATCTTTACAAATACCTCTTTCTATTATCTTTGACCATTTCTATTAACAGTGAGACAAATTACATGAACATTGAAGTTGCTTGAATGACTTATAATCATTCATATTGATAAAAGCACGTAAAGAAAGTTAATCGGCTTCTTGGGTAGGATCAGGGGATCGTCTAAACCTTTGAAAGTCAAAAACGGATACGAAACCATACTCAGTTGATAAAGTTTTGTACATGATGAAACAAGGAAAACTGTATAGAATATGGAAAATAGGTTGATATCAACGTACAATTCTATTGGGAGTGGTATTGAAGGGACTATGCATAGGTATGCTAGCAAGAGCTCGGTGATTAGGGTGGTCATTCAAATTAGGTGTGGTAAGGTTAGGATGCTTAAATGGTATCTGAGGTGAAGAAACCGGCATTCCTGGCCTTCCTCGGAACTGTGGTCCAGCAACTGGCCTTTGAGATTGTACCAGATGATGATGTGCATGTACCGTTGGTGATTGATTACTAGAGTGCATCAAGTTACCGGGCATACTTGGGGTTTGAGGGATTGAGCCTCCATTCAAAGCAAAAGAGTTCATCTTCATATGTTCTGGTAAAGAAGTACGGAAATTGGCTTGTAATTGAGATGGATGAAGTTGAAGCAATGCAGGATCCCGATACGCAAAAGGAGTCGAAGAAGCCAATCGTGATGGTGGTGTTGGAAAATTATGAGATGCAATGGCAGGTATTGATCCATTATTCCCATTCAGTTCTCCGTTCATAGGTTTCTTCGTGAGTATCTCAACCAATCGGGCATCAGGTTGTGAAGTCAGTACAGATTCTTTGATCCCAACTGCATAAACAGACGGCAGGCAGCCCTGATAGACAGGAGTCGGGTCATCTTTCGTGCGTGACTGCATGATGATATTTTGCGTACGACGAAGTTGCTCTCGGGACGGCACGATGCTCAGTGCGTCATGAGCTGAGCCTGGAATGTGCGTTGAGACTTGAGGCCTGAGTTCGAGCAGCTCGGATAAAGATTTCATCAAGCGATCGGCCTCGGCTAATTCTGTTGAAGAGAGTCCGGGAGCCTGCTTGTCTCCCTTTTTGCTTGACGCAGGCGCAACCGGATGTGCGGAAGATGTGCTGGAGAGAGATGGATCTAGATCTGTGTCTTGAACCTCTCGAAGTCGTTCGAACTGCCTCTCTTGTAGATTTCGTATCAGCAGGTTGTTAGTGGCTAGTCGAGAATTGATGAACTCGTGAGTATGGTCAGTGTCAAGTGCTGATGTAGACTCTTCCGGAGCGTCATCTTCTTGCATATCTATAGCCATCTTCTGTCTCTTCCGACTATGCGCATGTGCCAATCCTTCTGACGACGTGAGTGATTTTAGCTCGGCGGATGACATAGAGAGAGTTTCAGCAGGGATATCAAAGTATCGATTCGGACGATGGATCCAGTGATTCAAACGTTGGCGACTGAAATACGAAGTTCTTGTCTGTTGACAGGTCTGCATACTTCCGGTTGAATCGTGCTGCGGAGCAAAAGAAGAATATGGCGAGTAATAGAGTGAGGCAACTGTAGCAGATTCGGATACCAAGAGCAGCGTCAGCTTCTCCACATTTTGAGCCATAAGATGAGAATTTCATACCAGGGGGACCATGAGGACCTTTTGCAGGCATTTTAGGTACATTTGATTTAGAAGTTGAACGAGTTGTCTGGGTCTGAGCAACATTCTTGTTTGAGGGTGTGATTCCGTTAGTAGGAAGACGCGCGGAGTTGGAAGATGACTGAGAAGGAGGGGTAGGCACAACATCCGATAAGACCGGTTTGATAGGAACGACTGAATCTAGAGTCACAGGATAGTGAACTTGAACTATATCTGTGTCTTCAACTAAAGGTAGCAAGCGATTAAACAAAGATTAAAGAACGTTAGCAGATTGAAAAAAAGTCAAGATAGTGGTTCACTCGAAAAACATACTATGAGAAACTGCCTGAAGAGCAGCTTTATCGAGTTTACAGACGTTGGTGGTGAACACGTCGACACCGATATTACCCTCGCTTACGACTTGATTAAAGCCAGGTATGTTACGATGATGAAGACGTCGATGCAGTACAAAGAGAGGTGACTCGGGATCTGATGAAGGAGTGATAAATGAATCGTCCATCGCAAGTATCGGAACGGCGGGTGAGTTTAATGAATCTTGAATCGGAGACTTGGATCCAGAAGGTGTTGGTGAATTGGATTTAAGAGCTGACTGAAACACCGATGAGATGGTACTTGTGGTGGTACTTGTCGGTTCTAGAGTAGATCGAAAGATTTGAAAAAAACCAAAAAGCGGTCAGTTCTATGAAACTAGAAAGGTAGTGTAATATTATGATAAAGCGATGTATCCAAAAGTCTAGCCGAGGCGCGTCTACAAAAGGACGCGCCTGATATTGACGACAACTTTGACGAGACTCTGAGCAGAAGTCTAAGGGTCATACACGACTGAAAACGATGCCTGCAAACAGCCATAGGTAGGGTGGAAATGATCTAAACTGGGATAAAAGGTGAGATTGAAGCTATGAAGTTGAACTCACCGGGGTTAAGCTCGTTTGAGGCATTCTCTTGAGTTGGCATTCTTTAGTTAAGTTCGAATCTGATGAAGCGTGATTGTACCAGAGTGTTATTTGATTGAGCTGATAGGATGAGATCGAGTGGGGAAGACCGATGAGTTGAAGGTGTTGATGGTCAAGCTTGATTGAATGTGAAGGGTTTGTCAAGAAGAAGCTTTGGGAAATGAAGTGTTCTTGACTTTTACCTTTGATCAAAATCAAAATCAACGGTCAACAGGAGTGGATCTCTCTATGTATGCACTCTGACAGTGACTCATTCAAACTTGACTCCGGTTTCCTTGGAGTTTCACTGGAAAGTTCACATTCATCTACACATACAATTCACACGGGGCCAAACTCAAACTCATGCAAAATACATACAACATCCCACATGGGAAACCCCTGGAACGCGTGTGAACATTGGCATGCTGAAAAAGCCTATCACCATCACCATTATCACAAACATGCGGTTTAAGACCTTCCACATTGAAATCATCATCACTCGGATTACATTGCCAACTGACATGAAGGTAAGGCAAGGGTAATCAGGATCTTTTAATCTTCCAGAACCCAGAGGGGATTTTCTTACGGTTTTTATTATCTAAAGATCTCTTTGAAAGTGTATATGTGTTGATTTAGGGGCCCATCTGATATGTGGCGGACATTACATGGCACACACTTGTAACCTCTCACAACTCACAGCAATCCTTCTCACATTAAACCATCATCACAAACCCCCTCTCAACCCTCTAATTCCAAAAACCAAAAACACGCAAAAAAGCCAATGCCAAAAGAAAGTATCTTTTCTTTAAAAAAAGAGTAAAGGGTTTTTTTTCTTTCTTTCTCATTTTCTCATTTCTTATAACCAAAAAAAAAACTAACAAAAAACTAAAACTAAAAAAAAACTTCTTTAAAAAACCAACCAACCAAAAAAAACCAAAAAAAAAAAAGAAAACTTATCAATACCAATAAATCTGATCATCATCTTTGAAAGAAAATAAAGACCCAACCAAAGCAAAAAAGCAAAAAAAAGCAAAATGAAAAACATTATAACTAGAAAAACAATCAACCAATCAACCAACCAAAGAAAAGAAAAAGAAAAAAGGAAAAAGCAAAAATATAGAAGTTGAAAAAAAGAAACAAAAAAATGATTTTTTTTGGAAAATGTTTCAAGGTCTTCAGATCTGATCTTCTAATCAAATCTAATATAACATCAATTAGTTTTTTCTTTCATACATCTTTTGATCTTCCACTTTCTTTCTTCCACTTTCTTTCTTTCACTGTTCTTTCTTTCTTTCTTTTGTCTTTCACTTTTCACTCTTAAATATTCAAACTTGATATAAAACTTGTAATCTTTGACCAGTTTGTGGTGAAAGACTATTAATAGTTTGACTCCAACCTGGTTCTCCAATCACACTTTTAAAAGCATGTAAAAGCTATATATTTTTCAAACCAAAAGAAAAAAAGATTTAGTCAAAAGAAGAAGATTTTATAACGAGAGAAAAGAGAAAGATTTGAATTTACCGATTTGAATTTCATATTTAAATCTGCCGATGGTCGACTCCATCTACCCACAGCATTTAACCAAAACCCAAATGATTCAGTTAATCCATTCGGATTTAATTCACTACAAAAAAATCATCAAAAACATTCAATTTTCAACATCTCATTCGATTTGGAATCATTCATTCATTTCTTGGGTTTCGTTGGAAAAGTTTACTATACAAAAAAAAATCAAATCTTCTTTCAACTTACATGGCTAAACACATTCCACGAAACGCAGAATCTTTTTCATCATTATCTTTAATTTCTGCTAAAGTTTGACACCTAAAGAAAAGAACCAAACCAAAAAAAACAATTCAATTCAATCAGATCCAAATCAAGAAGATAATCAAATCAATCCGCCCAAAAAAATCCATCCAAAAAAAAAACACCTTACCATTGTCTAATAAATTTATCAAGATGAGGTGCCACTAATTGAGGACAAGCCAAAGCAAGTCTTCCGATCGTCACAGCTGAGTTTTCAGTTAAACTACGAGCCACTCTAGCAGAAGTAAGCACAGGTACCAATCGAGTCAAAAGTGGTTCGATATACTCTCTCATCCTTTCACCTATTCAAACCGAAAAAAAAATCAATCAGTAATCTTAAACGCTCATCTGTTTTTAACTAGAGAAATTGATCAAATGCATACCTGCTTTAATGGCCACTTCACCTGCAGCCCATGCAGCATTATTACAAACACTTGTTAAATTCAATGGGGTTTCATAATCAATCTGACGAATGATCTCAGGCATCACCGTAGGTAAATAAGATTCAAGTAAATGAAAACATGAGATCGCACAATCTCCTACCAAAGCAAATGCCGATTGTCGTACAGAAGGTTCAGGAAAGTCAATGTTAAGACAAGTTCCCAGTAAGGAAAGGATAGGTGGAAGTGATTGTTGAGTGGTAGGTGTAGGGAAATTGATCAGTTCGATACTCGTATTGGTACTAGGATCGAGAATAGTTGAACTGGGATATGGAATCGGTTGTTGGTTTTGATTAGCTTCATAGAATTGACTAGCTAATGATCCAAGTCCTTGAGTCAATCCACTTAAAAGATCTAATGCCACAATCAAGAAAGTCTTATCCGGTAATTCATATTCATGTGGGTTCTTCATATAAAGTGCAAATCCTTCTAGATTACTCGTCACTATCCTTACACATCTATAAAATACCGTAGGAGCATATGGTAAGAATGCTGGTCCGATCGCAATCACAATCGATGAAAGACATTCTAATAATGGAATTAAATCTTGATCATCATCTGATAATTTCTCCCATCTTTCAATCAAGGGTGGCATTAAGATTTGAAGTAATTCAGGTGTTGCAAGTGCATTCCCAACTGAATCGGCCAATGTGCCCAGTGCGTCATATAAGATTAACAGATTCTTTTGTTGATATTTTCGAAAGGCCATCACTAAGCTGGTTAGGATCGGATGTAAGTAAGGTTCTAGTTCGTCTCCTGCTTCTTCTTCCAGAGTAGCAAAAGCACTACATCCAGCTTCCTGGACACGTTTGTTACCATCGAGAACAGAATGTAGCAACTGAAACAAATTGTCCACATCAGTTCAAATTTCAAACTTCGAGGTGAATATCGCAAGACTCACCCCTTCCATCACGGGTAAAAAGACAGTTTGCTTGTGTTCCGCAGTGGCTCCAGGTGAAATAATCCAGCTTGCATAACGACCCAGAGTCCAACACGTGATCGACCTTACCAGTGCCTTTCGGTCTTTCAAACATGTCAAAAGAAGTGGGACCAGTGTAGCCAGATGGGGTTCCATACCGACCACACAGCCTTGAAGGTGTTGTCCGATCACGACCAAAGATCAACCCATCAGACTCGAGCAACTAGATATAGAATGACTTTCCTCAAAAAGCCAATTGAATCAATGAATTTGTTCTTACCTTCAGCAATAGCACCCAGAGCCAAGATTGCAGCTTCCTTATGTTCCCACTGAGGTTGAAAGAGATACTGTTGTAATAACGGTAAAAGGAAATCGAGTAATTTGTTTTCGAAATTCACTGCAATCACATCCAATGCAGCCGCACTACACTTTCTCAAATTCCAATCCCCAGTAAGATCATCATCATCCACATCGCTCTCTTCATCTTCACTACCCTCTGCGTCATCATCAGGATTTTGAGTAGCGCCATCGGTTGCCTCGCCACCAGGGGCTGCCTGACCTGTCTCTTCGCCAGTACGACCTTGAGGATGATCCTTGCCGCCACGATAGACATGAGGTTTGATATCTTGTTCACGATCAGGTACAGCTTCATCTTCATCATCATTATCGAGCATCAAAAGGTCCGTTTCCGAATAAATCATACCCTTCAGTAAGACAGGTACGACCTTTTCCAGATAATTGAGTAAATGACCCCTCAGTCGAATATCTTCACCGAATGCTAACCAAAATTCACAAGCTTCAAGTGCTACTCCTTCATCGGTTTCTTGAGTTGAATAAAGCATAAAATCCACCGTTTGTGATAAGTTAGGAATCAAGATATCAGGATTCGAACTTAATAAGGCTACTAAGGCTGAACAAACGTTTTTCCGTACGTCAGGTGAGGTATCACTTGCGCAAAGAAACAGAGCTTCGACATAAGATGTCAGATTATCGGTAAGACTACCATCACCACCAGTTTGAATAAACGGATTAAGACAAATCAAAGCATAAGCACGAATCTTTGAATCTGTTGAAGTCTTGAGATGATTAATGAATCGAGGAACCATGATATCAAGGACCCGAATGCCATTGATTTGCATTTTTTCTAATTTCCTAGGTACATCTTCACAAATCTTGGAAAGTGTTGAGAATGCACCATCCTTTCCAAGTGGTTCATCTGCTTCAGTAAGTTCGATGAGAGATTGAATAGCTTGAGGCCAAGCTTCAGGACCGAATTGCATGACGATAGTTGAGATGACTGTACCAGCTGTACCCCTAAGCATTGGAACTGGATCTGAAAGGAGGTTTGAAGTTAAGATGACCGATTTGACATATTCTAAAACTTCATTGGTAATATTAAATGAACTTGGAACTTGAGGATCTTGAAGGATTGCTAAATTACTATAAGGTATTCTTCGAAGGTTGTTTTTTAAGATCAGACCTGCAACCGATCTAGGTCTAGGATGTTCATCTGGTAATTGACAAAGAATATAAGCTAGATATGAATTATAATCGGGAATCTCATTAAATGAATCCAATTGCTATTCAAGAATGTAAAAGAAAAGAAAACACAAGAAAGTTGAGTTAGTAGAAGAACTTGAAAAAGAAAAGAGAAAGTAAGATTGAGAAAAGAGAGTAGCTTACTTTAGTGACAGTTTTTTGAATTTGACTATCAGCCGATTCAGAGTTACGCAAACAGGTGATAAGTTGAGATAATCCATCAGGTTGTGGTACCCAGGTGTTGGTAGTCATGATGAGATTGGTTAGAGATCGGAGAGAGAGAAAGTGTGTGGTGTGGAGTGGAGTGGTGTGTTGTTGTTGTTGTTGAAAGTGAGTTGAGTTGAAGAGAAGAGGATTAAGTAAAAGTCTAAAAGGGCTTTAAGTTTTAAGTGTTAATTTTTTAAAATTCAATTTCAAACTTCATTTTCTTCTCTTTTCAAAGCTCATCACAAACTTGAAACCCCCCCCCCATAAATGAGTCAATAGCATTTACCGGATTCATAAGGATCCCACTAGAATCATCAACTACATGGAACTTTTCTACTCCAAGAAGGCTTTGTAAATCTCACATTTTCTTCAGAAGCACGAATGATCAAAATCACTTGGTCTTACTATTCTTCTTTTTTGATTCAGTTGATCTGTTCTAGCTTGATCTTTAACATTTCTTTTCAAGAACTTAACTCAGCTTTCATTCAGACTCAGTATCTTTAACTTCACTCTTGTACTTATTTTTTAACACCAGAAAGACCATGTAGATGTCTAGATCGTTCTATGCTGCATCTCATCAAGCATTCAAGACTCAAATCATCAGTCTTTTAACTTTGTTTAGACAAACTGTGCTCTTTGCACCAAGTGTTGAGAGTTTCGAATGTATCGCAGATGTAGAATGAGCATGTCTTGATTGATATTTTCATGACATATCTGCAGAGATGGAGGTGTCTTACAAAATTGATTGACTGGGAACTTCCTATGCAGTGGTCTTTGAGGATATCGATCTACAACAGACTCATTGTGGTCATCATCAAGACTCTGATTGATACGACCTGGCAGCAGTACCACCGATTGAGGCAGTGGAATGCTGCTTGATCTCGTGTAATTTTCTGGTTTTGTGTGTTCACCGTAGCCCACTGCAGGTAATAATGTCAAAGGGACCGCAGTAAGTTGACATCAAGCATGAGGACTCGGTTGAGGCATGACTCAAGTTGGTCATTCAATCAACGATGGTTCGATTCGAGATCAATAAGCGGCATTATGCAAGTTTTGCCGGTCTGGTTGTGATCTCTCTACGTCAAGTCCACCCCAGTTGACTGTCATCCCATTGCAAAAAAATGATGGGTGCATTGCCGTCATCGAGGATTCGTTGATGAGGCAGCTTTTTCCAAGTATAAGAAGCCTTGTGTGGTTTGCACCTTTTCTGTTCTTCATCCAACTCATCTAACACATCATATTTACCGGCTTTTTCCTTCTATCTATTTTATATTGCTCAAACTACATTCTCTTTCATCTTTTCAACAAACTCGTTATCACACCTTATATACTTTTCCATTCCTTCAAACACATCAAATTCCTGACTATATCACATTTTTATCATCAACTTATATCTCACTACATACCTTTAAATCAAGACATTCTCTTACAATATGCAAATTAACATTGCTTACGTTGTCGCTGGTCTCCTTGTCTTCGTTTCATGTAAGCAGACGAGCAATTGTTTATTCTTCACCCTTTGTGCATTTTACTGATCTTATTTCTTTTCGTAGCAAACTTTGGTGAGGCTGATGCGCGCATGATCACTGTTACCCACAAGGCCGGTGAAGCGTAAGTGCATTTTTCTGCAGTCATGTTCTCATTACACGGCATTTCAACTAATATATATATTCCTCCCTTTCAGTCATCTTGTGCTCAAACGAGAGGCCACTGGATACACTTCACCAGGTGCTGCTGGTAATTACGGTGTGCCAAACACCACCGGCCCAGCTCAACCAGTTATGGGCAGCGGAACTGCCCATGAGATTGCAGCTGCACCTCAACCTGCCTCGTCACCTGCACAGCCCTCAAGCGCACCTCCTTCTGGTTCCATCGTATCACCAACTACTCGAGCTCAAGCTGCCAATGTGACCCCACCGGCTCCGTACGCACCTAGTCCTGCTGCAGCTCGCAAAGGGCCAACTTCTAGCGAGTCTGGCGCCTCAATTGTCACACCTACATCCCAGCGTCCAGTTGGAGCCAACACCTCATCCATATCATCATCGAAGTCTGAAGGTCCAGTTCCCGGCGCCGCTCAACCGGTGGCTTATACACCTCGTCCCGTCGTCTCATCCGGCGCATCAACTCCAACTGAGTCTGGCGCCTCAATCGTGTCACCTACTTCTCAACATCCAGTTGCTACCAACTCTTCATCCGCATCATCAGAGAAATCTCAAGCTCCAGTTCCCGGCTCCCCTCAAGCGGTACCTTACACGCCTCGTCCTGTCGTCTCGTCCGGCGACTCAAGTTCTTCCGAGTCTGGCGCACCAAGCGTACCACCTACATCTCAACGCCCAGTTGGTGGATCTTCTATCCCTGCACCCACTGGTGAAGATCAAAGTTCCGGCTCACCTGATTCCAGCTCTAATGGCAATATAATCCCAAAACCAATCACTCGGGCCCCTATTCCAGTCGTAGGCATCCCTACCCTTCCTTTAGGAACTTCCGCGCCATCAGTTGGTGGACCAATTGGCTTACCATCTGGTCCAATTGGTGTTCCGGGAGTTGGACTTGGTGGTCCTCAAGTTGGATTTGGTGGTCCTGGAGTTGGACTTGGAGCTGGTCCACACTTTGGGTGAGTTTACAACACCTTTTGAAAACCTTTTTCCATTTCACAAATCCTAACTTTTTTTTTCGATTTGCTACAGAGCCGGAGCTGGTGTTCACGCAGGACAAGGTGTTGGGTAAGTAATTCTTATTCAATTTTGTGAACAAATCTTGTTTCATGACCTGATCTTGAATCATCTTTGCCTCAATAACAGTCTTGGTCCAGCATTAGGCGGATTACCAGGTGCTGGTATCCTTGGAGATGCCGGATTTCATACCGGTGCCGGTGCAGGAGTTGGATCACACCTTGGGGGTGGTGCTGGGGTAGGCGCTGGTTTCAATGCTGGTGCAGGAGTTGGTCAAGGCGTTGGTCTAGGTGGATACCCAGGTGCAGGTCTCAATGCTGGTGCCGGTGCAGGTGTTGAAGCTGGCGCAGGCTTAGAAGCTGGTGCAGGCTTAGGAGCTGGCGCAGGCTTCGGAGCTGGTGCAGGTGTTGGAGCTGGTGCAGGTGTTGGAGCTGGTGCAGGTGTTGGAGCAGGTGCCGGTGTAGGAGCTGGTGCCGGATTTCGTGCCGGTGCCGGTGTTGGCGCAGGTGCCGGTGTTGGAGCAGGTGCCGGATTCCATGCTGGTGTTGCCCAACATGTTGAAGGAGGTGTGATTGTCTAAGCCTCAATAAAAACTTGTTTTTAAATGTTAATGAGTAATTGTTTGTGTTGTTATCTACCATGTTACTTGACCCATAAATCATGCTTCCACATATACACCTTTGCTTCAGAACCCCAATATATAAGTTTCTAGCTTAGGACCAATCATTTTATATAAACATGAATACTTCAAAACTTTTTCTTACACATTTGGTGAACGAAGTTCTTTACGAGCCCTTTGGGCCATCACTTGACACACCACATCCACTATGAGAAGGTACTTGATGAAGAGTTGCAAAAAAAACTTTTGTCGTAGTTTTTGTGCAGGACAAATGGGTTTACAACACCAAAATTTATCAATGAACTTGTATGCAAGCTTAAAGAACTGGGATTTCTTGAAGCCTTTGGCTATGTAAGAGATTGCGCAGATCTATTTATTTATTTGTGTACACTGTTTGTTCCTAAAGCAGATCATTGGTCACAGGTTTGGCAAACCACTTTCGAATTGGTAAGTTCCATGTTCCAAATTCTATGACACCATCCATGTGTCAAATTCACATACATCGGTAGATAAGTCCCGGTTCAATTCCTGTGGGTTCTTTTGTAAGAAGTCTTGATGATGATATAATGAGTGACTGATGATTGTTGATTACTTTGAAGTGGAACTGGTCCATCTTCAATCGTAAGAAATGGCTGCGAAAGAATTGAAAAAAAAAGATCATTTGCAGATTTATACGAAAAGTCATTTCGAGAATCTGAAAATAAAATTTGTAGAAAACATTATTATATTTCTGAAGGTCAAACTTTGAAAAGCATCACACATCTTGAATATATATGATGTGTTTTGATTAATTGAAAGCTTGTCCTAAGGAGCGATTTCTATAAAGAGTGCCATCAGAAAAGCTCAAAACAAGTGAGGTCACAGAAAGGAAAGTGGGCTGCTCGTTTCACAAAAGGCGTTGTGATGTTACATGTATGACTGTGCCTGGTACCGACGGTACATATACTTAGTGTCGGTACCCGCAGATGGCACTTCAAGTTCCACTCTAGTCTCTGACCGTTGCCCGCCCTCTGATGTTGACCTTCAGTGATTCTAAACCGGTCACTCAACAACTACTTAAACCAACAACACTTCACTCAATCTTCCTGCTTCAACCTCAACCGATTCACCTTTCATCAATCGAATCTCATACTTCCCTCCTAATCATCACCAGTGATAACTCTTCAAATCCACTTACGATTCAGATCAGTCTGCGGAAATGGCGAGACCCGAGATTGTCATGGAGACTCCAGCAGCAAAACAGCTCGAGGTAACGCGCCAGGCCGTTTTAATCACAAACCAGCTCATCTTGAAGATCTTATCGAAAACCTCACACTAATTTCTATTCGTTTTCGTTTTAGGCTGCTGTGCAAAGAAAATTGGCCGAATTCTCTTATTCCACGGCCGATGATGTAGTCATGGCGGAGTATGTGGTGGTGATGTTAGCAAACGCAAAAACACCTGCTGAAATCACTGCTGGTTTGTCCGATCTGCTTTCAATCCTATCTCTTACTGATAAACCACTTCTCTCACTCGATGCTTATTGATTTTCAATACCTTTTAATCGTATATAGAACTCACCGAGCTCATCGGGGAAGATATGTATGACCCAATCTTTACTGATTGGCTTTTTGAAGAACTCGCTCGACAATACGGACCTCCTCCAAATTCATCTGCTCCTGTTGTCGAATCGACTGTCGACATTCCTACCAAGTCATCTCAAGCTGGTACGAGTGAACGGTCTAACTCAGATCTGCCCACTGCTGGGAAAATCGAAACTGTCAATGATTCTCGCGAACCCATGAACTCCAATCGTAATCCTGCAAAGAGAGTGGGCAATAACGGTACCAATGGCAACCGGAATAGTCAAGGTGTATTCAATCAGGCTTTAGGTGGACTCAAGCGATCAGGTGGAACGGATATTCTTAAAGATACTCCTCCTCACCGAAGACTGCGATCAGACGAGCCATTCTCCAGTGGGGGCATTCCGACTGGTCCTCGTTCTATGGACAGAGATTCGCGTGATGGTGGGAGACCGAATGTCATCCCGCCACGCATTGGTGGTGGAATGACAACTGACAGGAGAGACACAAACAACAAGTAGGTGTTCCATCTGTTGCTTATCGATTCACATCCCCCACCACATTTATCGATTGTTTATCACTCAGTGGTCCAAGACCTCCCCATAACAACTTTCCACCGATGCGTCCTGGCTTTGGAGCGAATCCAGATGCTGGCGCTAAAAGCATCCTGGAGCGAGTTGGCGTAATGGGAAACGGGATTCGTCCTTTTCTCAATCATAATTTCCAAGGAGGCTTTGACAATGTACGTACTTGACTTGCGTCACAAACAACCCTTGGCCCATTTTGTTTCCTTACCTTGCATTTGGTTCTCATGCACTCGGCAGGGTCAACCTCGCCGTATGAACGACCAGCTAGGTGACTCATTGAATGGTGGGAGACCTCCTATGCCTCCAGCCCTTCATGCACCTTTCTACAACCCCGGTGTTCCCTATTCCGGTCCAATGACGCCAAACCATCCATTTCCTCAGCATCAATATCAACAACCTTCTCCCAATGCTCCCACACCACAATTATTCCTTGCCAATGGCCAACCCTTTATACCATCGCATCCGATCTCTCATCCACTTTCGGCTGCTGGTGGTCAAATTCCCCCCATGTATCACCAAGTATTAATGAATCTCCCAACTACTCCAAACTCCGGCTTATCAGCCCAATCGCCAGCTTTCAATCCCGGTCAATCCATGGGTTATGTTCCTAAGTCTGGTGCATCTCAGTCACAATCAGCACCCGATTTAAACCTTAGTCCTTTACCTGATAAGCCAAGCCTACGCCAAGAGTGCAAATACAACCTAGAGTGTAAAGACGCTTGGTGCCCAAGCTCTCATTGTTCGCCTTGCGGAGACTTTAAGTCATCTATGCTTCTCAATTTCGACGCATGTGAAAAACAGATGCAGTGCCAAGACTCGGTAAGTTACATGTACTCCACAGCTTCAAGCAAAGCTACCTCGCGATGTTTTACTGACGACACTCCCAACAGGACTGTCCAAAGGCGCATGTTTCTCCCCAACAACGTGACCCGAAATCTTCAATCCGAATTCCCATGATCACGAACGCGGCAGCTCCCAATACCTCAGCCATGCCTCTTCAAGCCTCCACTCCCGCTCCGAGTAGCAACCTCACTCCATGCCGATTTGGAACACAATGTACCCGGGCAGATTGTCACTTTACTCACCCATGGAATACGAATCCTAACACACCTGGAAGTGCCAGTGAGGTGGGTAAAGCCCCGGCTAGCACCCCTTTCAGCACAATCCGATGCAAATACGGTATGGCTTGCACACGACGTGAGTTATTTGCCTGGCAGAAATTATTTGACTCGAATACTGACACCACCATCTCATTTTAACAGCCAATTGTCACTTCCAACATCCCCCCAAAAAAACAGCAGCCGCTAGCTATCGCACACCCTCGAAGAACATCTCCAAGACGTTCAACAGTTCTGATATAGTAACCGCTGCCAACGGCATTGATGCTGCAAAACTACCACCTTCGAAGAAATTCGGTGCTCCTCAACCTGAGCAAGGAGAATCGTTGAACAATGCGGACGAAAAAGCGGAGAAGGATTCCGTTGCTCCCACCTTGTCACTCAAACCTAAGGTGGAAGCTGACTTACCAGTCTCGAATCCACCTAGTAGTAATGCTAAGCCTTCTATCAAAACGGAGGCTAATAACGGATTACAACATCAAGCAACATCAGAGTTATCAGACATTAAACCGATCCTCCCCGTCTCTGTAAGCACATAGGCGAATATCGTCACATGAACATCACTTGGCTTACGAGGCGGAAAAGCATTACTCATGCCAATGCTGCGCATACATAATACATAATACTACCGGATCGAAAGGTTGAATTCAAAACGTTTACTTATTGATCTCATACGCGTGTGTTCTTTACTTGAGTGTGTTGTAGGATAAAGTCTACTCAAAAGATTTACCTCATCTATTGATCTATCAATCATATACAACCTAGCTTTTTTTTGATTGAACTTTCTTTCATCTATCTAAATTTAAATATGTGAATGAATGTATGTGCAAGTCTTTATGATGATGATGATTTGAATGATGTGGAGTGTGTTTGATTGATATATAGTTTGATCGTGATGAAAACAAATCACCAAACAAAAAGTTTTTTTTCTGTTTATATACTTTAAAATGAATGAAAGTTCTGAGGCTTCATGATTATAAGATACCGAGAGAGCGACTACAATGTATGTGTCATCAAAATTGAGTACATGAAGGCTGTCAAGATGATGGCTGTTTACAAATGTGCAATACGTTTGGGCCTAGCTTGCTTGAGGGACTCCAAACTTGAATCGCTGTGACTGAGATGTTTAATACATATCCTGTTTGGTGCTGTCTGAGATGATGGTGACGTGCACTTTGAGCAGTTCTATCTTGGGCAAGTTCTACATCAAGAGAGGAATAAACTCCACTTCATCAAGGTGAATGTGACGTATCATGTTTAAGAGCTAAAGTTCCAACCACTTTAACTTTAGATGTGGGATAGAGTGATCTCGTTGTGGATCTGTGTGGATTTTATAGAGTCAATGATGCGCCTAATAGTCCAAGGCGTGACTTGAGGTTGTGGCCAGCATGAAAAAGGGAAAGACGAGTCTCAAATGAGACGTGATAGGCAGGCACACTACAACACGAGATTGATGGCAAAGTTGAACTCAAGCAAGATTCAACTCATTGAGCAATCCTGTGGGGGAGACAAGGTAATTGAAAGAGAACTATAATCGCATTTCCGTGTTCACGAGATGAACAAATGACATGATGAAAATATGATCAATGAAAAGAGGAAAAAACAAAATGCAGGAGAACCTGGAGAGAAACAAAAGTACGCAGATTTCCTTGAGAAGCTGTACTCCTCATTCTTTCAAACATTTTCAAACAAACAATGAAAGAATCATGTTGGTTTGCAGCCCGAACATTCTATTACAAAAAGTGACCGCATGATTGAAGATTAATACTTGATTTAAAGATCATAGAAAGAAAGAAAGAACGCTTACGGATGAAGGGCGAACCCTTGGGTATAGGACAATTGTAAGTTTTAGCGTCAGAAGTGCCACATTCTATTAATCAAAAAAAAACAATTACAAAAGAGGTTTCAGTCAAACCTTTTGAAGTGAATCTCAAGTGTTAGTAGAAAGATTGAACAAAGGATAACTAACCGTAATAGCCCTTTTTAAGCTCATAACCAGCACAGTTTTGTTGACTCGTCTGAGTGGAACCATCCTTTTTACAACCACTCATTGGAGTATACGGGTTTCCTATTGGTAATTTCAAGAAGGGTTAAAAGGAAAGTACAAGTGATAGAGAGATGTACAAGATCAATTCCCAACTTACCTTGGTATGAGCACTTTTTTCGTGGGCATTGCCATAGTCTTTCTGCAGTCTCCCAACAGACTTTTATAAAGAAAATGGTAAATGAGCTTCTTGGTGGAAAACCAGAGGATAATCATAAGATTTCACTTACTTGAGTTTCCGTGGTATCCGTTTGGGGTATATCCGAGTGTACATGTGGCTGTGAGGTCCACGAGTTGGGTGTAAACGGACTGCGTTAAGCATATAGCGATAAAGATGATAAGAAGCTTATGGGGAGCTTGGAAAGATAACATGTTGGTATGAGGAATGAAAATTAGACTAGAGAGACCGGCGGTAGATATATAGATCGAGATTGGGGTTTGCACTCTGGAGCGACTGGGGGTGCTTGTATATATAGGGAATTGAGAAAGCGGAATACATAGACCTGAGGCTGGATAACCTCGCAGGAGCTCGCAGGTCCTGTGCTTCGCGTTGAAGTTGGGGTTGGCGTCCTTTCGGAGGTACCTGGTATACATGTCGTGTACCGGGATGAACGCCGGGAAGGGTCACATCTGTCAAGGATTCTAACGGTTTCCCAAAAGTTTGTGAGGCCGCAATTGAGATGCAAACGGGTGTGGCTTGGAAGGGGACCCTAGAGTGACCATTGAAATTTTTGTGGCACCACCAGAGTTTACCTGACTCCACCGAATCCAGCCACCCTTTTTTTTTTTTTTAATGCATTGCTTTAAGTGTTTTTGGAGCCGTTAGGATCATGCCGCTGTTCCAGGACCCCAGAAATCAAGATATTTGTGTTTTTTGGTATGTGTGGGGGGAAATTAAGACAATGTGAACTATGGTACATGCGTTAAAGGGAAAACATGGAGTGATGCGATGAAGTATGAGAGAATATAGCGATGAAGTGGTGAAAAGGGAATTAGTCCTGAGGCTTGTCGATGTTGGTTGGATGGGGTTCGTCTGAGATTCTCGCCCAGACCCATCGGTTGGCGAATCGCCAGGTTTTGTTGCAGAATGCGGTGATTGCTGTGAAGGCGCTCGGTGTTGATAGGAGGCATTTGTCCATCCTAAAGGTTTTTTGCTCGTTGAAGCCTTGGTTTTCGATGTCGCGCTCAAACGCGGCTCGTGCCTGTGCATGGTTCTGACACACAAAGAGGAAGTGGTCAACATTTTCGACGCCTTCTTGGCATCTGCAAGAAGGGTCGCCTAGTTGGTGGAAGCGGTGAAGATAGGAGTTTAAAGGGACATGGCCTGAGCGTAGCTGGGTGAGAGTGGCGATTTCATGTTTCTTGAGGGCACTTAGGCCGTCAAGGTGTTTTCGTCCGTTCGGTTTGTGACCTAGGCGTTTGATTTCAGCCTCGCTGAAGGTGTCGGTCTCTATTGCTCGCCACTCCTTGATGGCTGAGAGGAATGCCGCGGTGTTCGGAGTGTTTGTGAAGGTGCTTGGTAGGTCTCTCTTGGCGAGAGAGTTTGCGATTTTGTCGACGGTCTCGTTGCCGGGGATGCCTTTGTGCCCAGGGCACCATCTGATGACGACTCGGAGGCGGGGGTGACTTTGAAGAATGCATTGTAGTTGTTTGAATGTCTTGTGTCGATTGTCCAGTGAGGAAACCGACGAGGAGTTGGATTTGAGGTCTTTGACGACCCCCTGGTTGTCTAGGATGATAGAAGCACGGTGAGTCTCTTCTGTTGCTTGTTCAAGTACAAGCTTCAGGCCCAGTTGGACGCCTTTGTACTCAGCTTGATAAATGCCTTGGGACCTTGCTGGTCCGAGTTGTGTTGATGAGCTTCTCTTGGTGTTTTCACACCAAGCCGCGGCCGCTGTGTTCTTGCTTGGTATACGAGAGCCGTCGGTGAAGACGATCAGGTGTTGGTTGGTTGCCTTCAGACGTAGCGTGTCGGAGATCGCACGTTTCTCGTCATCCTGAAGTACTGTCGAGTAGTTGGGAGGGCGTATAAGTGAAGATGCAGGGTCGACTGGGAGCTGGACCGCATGTTCTTCGAAATGCTTGTAGAGCGGGTGTTGGAAGAAAAGCTGAAAGGGGTTCCTGTGGCTCTTAGGGATAGAGAGCTGGGACTTTTGTATAATCTTAAACAGGGGGTGAGCTTGGCTTTTCGTCATAGATCTGGCCATAAAACTCAGTACTTTACTTTGATGCCGAATCGCCGGAGGGGTGAGGTTCATGTCGTGGCGTAAAAAGGTGGTTGGAGTCGATTTCAAGGCGCCTAGTGCCGCTCTTGCGCACGTATTGTCGATGATCGACATCTGTTCTATAAAAAACTTGGTCGGTTCAGTGGGCATTCCAAGCCATTGCACCGTAGTCAATGGCAGAGTGGACGGTTGTCGTCATGAGTATTTTGAAGAGTTTCGGCGGAATCCCCCAGCCCTGTCTGGCAAGGCCTGAGAGAAAACCAGCACGTTGTTTACCTTTGGCGAACACATCGAGCCTATGTTGTTTGAAGGTTAGCTTGTTGTCGATTTTGATGCCGAGCCACTTGGCAAAGGGAGCTGGCTCCAGCTTCTTTCGATCAGCGAAGTCGATCGTTGGTATGATGTCGTGAGTGATTTCTTGTTGTGTGAATAAAACCCAAAAAGTTTTCTTTGTGTCGAAGATGGCACCATGTCTCTTCGACCACTGTTGTTGTCGAAAAGCAAGGGTTTGCATCTGAGAGCGTAGTTGGTGTGTGTCGAGAGCTGAGGAGAGGAGTACCACATCGTCAACAAAGCCCAGAGCCGTGGCCGTGGGAATGGTGTCTGTGATCTCTAGGAGGGAGGAGTTGTAGAGTAAGTAAAGTAGGGGAGATAATGGAGAGCCTTGAGGAAGACCGTGGTTGAGAATGAAATCTTGGGACTCGAAACCGTTGAGACGCGATGCGAATTAAGATCCTGATCCTGATCATGCCGCTGTTCCAGGACCCCAGAAATCAAGATATTTGTGTTTTTTGGTATGTGTGGGGGGAAATTAAGACAATGTGAGTTTACCTCGAGCCATTTCCGCAGACTGATCTGAATCGTAAGTGGACTTGAATAGTTATCACTGGTGATGAATACTTTAGGAGAGAAGAATGAGATTCGATTGATGAAGGGTGAGCCGCTAACTTATGTTTTTTACGGATTTCATTTTTAGAAGTCTCGAAATGACTTTTTGAATTGTTTATTCAAATCTGCAAATAATCTAGTTCTTCACAGCCATTTCTTAGTGCTGAACGTGGACCAGTTCCACTCCAACGTAATCAGGAATCTTCAGTAACTCATTATGTCAACATCAAGACTTCTTACAAAAGAACCCAGAGCGTTTGAACCAGGACTTATCTACTGGTCTATGTAAACTTGACCCATGGATGGTGTCATAGAATTTGAAAATGGAACTTACAAACTTGAAAGTTGAAACACTTCAAAAAAATTATTGTTTTTGTCAAACCTGTTATCAATGATATGATTAGGTATATAGAGGTGTATACAAATGCGTACATAGCTCTGGACAATCTCTTACGTAGCCAAAGGCTAAAGAACTACCGATTTTTAAGCTTTCAAGTTCATTTATAAATTTTGGTATTGTGATCGCATTTGTTCTCCACAAAGGTTAGCTTAACACCACAAAGGCCACCGTCAAAGATCTTTTTTTACGATTCTTTATCAAATACCTTCTTATAGTGAATGAGAAGTGTACAGTGATGGGCCAAGGGGCTTGTAAAGAACTTGATTCAACAAATGTGTAGAAAAAGTTTCAAAGAAGTTATATTGGAATAAGATGATTGATCCTGAGCTAGGAGCTGGTATATTGGGATTCGGAAGCAAGGGTCTATATGTGCAATGTGATTTACAAGTCAATTAACATGGTAGATAAGAGCGCATACAATTGAATGTACATTTAAGAACAAATTTTTATTCAGGCTTAGACAATCACACCTCCAACATGTTGAGCAACACCAGCATGGAATCCGGCGCCTGCTCCAACACCGGCACCAGCTCCAACACCGGCACCGGCTCCAACACCTGCACCGGCACGGAATCCGGCACCAGCTCCTACACCTGCACCGGCTCCAACGCCTGCACCGGCTCCTAAGCCTGCACCGGCTCCAAACTCAGCACCTGCTCCTAGGCCAGCACCTGCTCCGAGACCGGCACCTGTTCCGAAACCAACGCCTGCTCCAACACCTGCACCAGCGTTGAGACCTGCACCAGGGAATCCACCTAGACCAAGGCCTTGACCAAAGCCTTGACCAAGTCCTGCACCAGCGTTGAAACCAGCGCCTACCCCAACACCACCCCCAAGGTGTGGTCCAACTCCTGCGCCAGCATTAAATCCGGCACCTCCGAGGATACCAGCACCTGGCAATCCGCCTAATGCTGGACCAAAATTCCCTCCGGCGTTCAAGTGTGAACCAAATCCTACACCGGCTCCAACTCCTGCTGGACCAAGACTGTTATTGAGAGATGATTCAAGATTAGGTCTTGAAACAAGATTTGTCCACAAAATAGAACAAGCATTACTTACCCAACACCTTGTCCGAAACCTAAGCCCGGTACAGCTCCTAAACCTTGTCCTGCGTGAAAGCCAGCTCCGGCTCTGTAGCAAAAGAAAGAAAGAAAGTTAGATGCGTGGAATGAAAATGGTTTGTCAGAAGGTGATCACAACTCACCCAAAATGTGGACCAGCTCCAAGTCCGACTACAGGTCCACCAAGTCCAACTCCTGGACCACCAAAGCCAACTGACGGGCCATTGAGCACAGGTAAAGGACCACCAAGCCCAACTCCTGGAAGACCGACTGGACCAGATAAACCACCAAGTTGTGGACCAAGGCTTCCAAATGCGGGTGTTGGACCTCTTAGTTCCGGTCCGACGTTAAGACCGAGTGGAGGTTGAATAAGACCACTGTTGACGCCAAGCGGCGGCGCACCAAATGGAAGTGGTGTGTTGCTTCCGAACGGAATAGGTACACCACGAACACCGCCAGATGGAATGGGGACTGGTAATCCAATTGGACCACCGACTAAAGGCGCGGAAGTTCCTAAAGGAAGGTTGGGGATAGCAACGACTGGAATAGGGGCTCGAGTGATTGGCTTTGGGGTGATATCCCCATTAGAGGTGGAATCAGGTGAGCCGGAACTTTGACTTCCACCCATGGGTGCAGGGACGGAGGATCCACCAACTGGGCGTTGAGAGGTAGGTGGTACGATTGGCGCGCCAGACGCAGAAGGACTGGATGCACCGGATGAGACAACAGGACGAGGCGTGTAAGGCACGGGTTGAGGGGATCCGGGGACTGGAGCTTGAGAGTCCAATAATGATCCGGATGAAGAGTTGACACCAACTGGATGTTGAGAAGTAGGTGACACGATTGAGGCGCCAGACCCAGCAGGAGTTGATGCACCGGATGAGACGACGGGACGAGGTACGTAAGCTACCGGTTGAGCGGAGCCGGGAAGTGGACCTTGATTGTTTGATGATGATGCGGATGAGGTGTTGGCTCCAACTGGACGCTGGGATGTAGGTGTGACAATTGAGGCGCCAGACTCGCTCGAAGTTGGCCCTTCGAGTGGTGCAGCAGGATGAGGTGCGTACGGAGCCGGTGGGGTCGCAATGGCAGCTTGACCTCGAGAAGTTGGTGATACGATGGAGCCAGAAAGAGGTGCGCTTGAGGGCTGTGCAGGTGACGAAGCAGGTTGAGGTGCAGCTGCGATTTCATGCGCAGTTCCGCTGCCCATAACTGGTTGAGCTGGGCCGGCGCTGTTTGGCACACCGTAGTTGGCAGCGGCACCTCGTGAAGTGTATCCAGTGGCCTCTCGTTTGTGCTCAAGATGACTGGAAGGAAGGAATAAATATGTTAGTTGCAGTGCCCAGGATTGAAAACGTGACTACAGAAGAAGGTACTAACGCTTCACCAGCCTTGTGGCTAACAGGAATCATGCGCGCATCAGCCTCACCAAAGTTTGCTACGGAAATAAGTAAGGTCAGTAAGATGCACAAAGTGTGAAGAGTAAGCAATGTCCCGTCTGCTTACATGAAACGAAGACGAGGAGACCAGCGACAACGTAAGCGATGTTAATTTGCATATTGTAAGAGAATGTGTTGATTTAAAAGTATGTAGTGATTGGTGATAAAAAGATGATATAGTCAAGAATTTGATGTGTTTGAAAGAATGAAAAAGGATATGAGATCTTATGACGAGGTGCTTGAAAAGATGAAAGAGAATGTGGTTTGAGTAATATAAAATAGATGGAAGGAAGAAACCGGTAAATACGATGTGCTAAATGAGTCGGATGAGGAACTGAAAAGATGCAAACCACACAAGGCTTCTTATACTTGAAAAATCAGCCACGAATCCTCGATGATGGCAATGCAGCCATCAATTTTTTGCAATGGTATGACGGTCAATCCGGGTGGACTTGAAGTGGAGAGATTGGTCACAACCAGACCGGCAAAAGTTGCATACTGCCGCTTATTGATTTCGCATCGAACCAATGGGTGTCATGAGTGATATACTTTGCAAGCCGGTCAAGTGGGAAACGGCTGATAGATGCAGTCCGATCAAATTACTCGTTCATTGAATCGACCAACTTGAGTCATGCTTCAACAGAGTCCTCATGCTTGATGTCGAATTGCTGTGGTCCCTTTGAGATTCCCTGCAGCGGCCTACGGTGAACACGCAAAACCAGAAAATTACACGAGATCAAGCAGCATTACCACTACCTCAATCGGTGGTACTGCTGCCAGGTCATATCGATTAGAGTCTTGATGATAACCACGACGAGCCTGGTGTAGATCGATATCCTCGCGAAGACAAGCGTTGCACAAGCGTTGCACAGGAAGTTTCCAGCCAACTCAATTCTCTAGCTCTGCAGATATGTCTTGTAAATAAGACATGTTCATTCTACATTACATCAGATGTGATACATTCGAAACTCTCAACACTTGATTTGAGTCTTGAATGCCCCAGAGGCAGCATAGAACGATCACGGGGTCTTTCTGGCCTTAAAAACTAAGTACAGGAGTGAAGTTGACGATGCTGAGTTTATATCAAGGACCAAAGGAGAAGATAAAACATCAAGAAACAATAATAGAGGATGAATGATGATTTCAATTGAATTGAAGCTGCTGTCCTGAGATGTAGTGAAAAGTGTGGTGGCGACTGACAGCAAAACATGTAGAATGATACACTTTTGATAGTCTTTGGATGGACAGGGGAATACACATAGCAGGCGAGATTCTTTTTGAGATGCAACTTGTGCAGTGAAAGCATCTTCATTGAAAAGCATCAGGAAATTCCTGGGTTACAATTGGAACAAAAAAGAAAACAGATAATAAAAACAACTCAAGTGATGCAGAGTATTTGGAAGATACTAAAATTACTCAACCCTTATATAACAGAAAACAGGGCACATGCTTGGAACACTCTGTTTTTAAGATTTTTTATTCTAGTAAATTTCCTGTTTTAGTTTTTAGTATTATGATTTGTTTTTTTGATAAAATTCAGTAGCAGCTGTGTTCTAGCATTGTATTTTGTCATCCACACAAATTATCAAGAAATAGATTAAGAAGTTTGACCATTTTTGTTGATTGATTGATTTTATTTTATTTGATAGTGGACTTGGAAAGACTATCAAAGTGATGACATGTTGTCTCTATGGACTTCAAATAAATAGTATTATTAGAAATTTAGTATATTTATACAATGGGGTGACAAAAAACTACAGGTAAGTTTTGAGGCTTCATTATCATAAGCTACTGAGAGTGAGACTAAAGGTGATATTGTGCTGTCAAACTTAGGAGATCAAGACAATGGCTGTTTACAAATGTGCAATACTTTTGGGTCTCACTTGCTTGAGGGACTCCAAGCTTGAATAGCTGTGAGATATTTGGTATATATCCTGATTGGTACTTGCTGAGGTGATTGCCACTTGCACTTTCAGAAGTTCAATCCTGGGCAAGTTCTGCATCAAGAGAGGAACAAACTCAACTTCAACAAGGTGAAGGTAACATATCATGTTCAAGACCTAAAGCTCCAGCCACTTCAACTTGAAAATTTATCACATTACAAAGCTTGAGATCCAGAATCACTGCCATGCTATCAGTACAGCAGTGTTGATGGAGCTTGACCCGCCTTCTACACCAATTTGCTCAAGTTTTCAATTGGAAAAGATTTACAAAATCAGCTGGAAATTATCCAGATGAATTGTACATCATAATGTTTTTGTGTATCCCCATTGTGCAGCTGAAGTTTCCTCTGAAGAAACATATGAATTGTCTGCAATTGATTGAGAAACTCAGAGTGTTTTGTTCAACATTTATTGGACACATACACAGGTCACACTTTTATTAATGTACTTGAGCCCCTTCACTTCCATGATAGTTGAAAATATCTATCCAGTCACTTTAGACAAATGAAAGTCTACAACCAGATCTGAAGCTATATATTCTGGAGGATAAATCTTGGATTTAATGAGAAAAAGACAGGGTCAAATATAAAGTTTGAGAATGGGAAGACGCCTCTTTATCATTCAACACATATTGTGTCCCTTGAAATTTCTTTAGAGTCCAGCTCAAGAGTATCTCCCATTCACAGCTGGTATACATCTATTACTCCCACAATTTTAATCCAAAGAAGTCATGAGGAGTATTTTGTGTATTCTGCAAGTTTTTGCAGTCTAAGTAACAACATGATGATATTTCTATGGCACAGACCTGAAAGGGTTTTAAACTTCCCGAGGTTCTCACTTGGACATCTCAATGTCCTCAATATTCAATGACTGATAAACTATTTCTTGACATGTTATTCATTCACTTGCCAAGATTGCTTATTCTCTTTAGCTTTCAAATTTGATTGGAACACAATTGCACATATGATATAGATTCAGGCTGATACCTCTTTTGGCACACATACAAAACAAAATAAAAAACCTCTTTTGCTCATTGGATAGGTGATTTTTTTCATCTGTTATGGTCAGCTGGTCTTATATCAACACCAAAAAGCCTAAATACATCAGGTACTGGTTGATCTCCGCCTGTGTTGTCAGCTCTTGGAGGCGGAATGAAATCTGAGTCCTTTATGGAGATTCTTTTTGGCCAAATATTGGTTCCTTCTTTTTGAGGGTCATATTTCAGCTCACCAGTATTTTTACCTGAATGAATTGTGTCAAGGAAACTGCCCCACTTTTGCACGTGGGTTGATGTAGACGCCATTCCAGAGGGAGAAGACTCAATACTGATTGATGTAGGATTTGTAACACTCAAGATAGCTTTTGGTGGGATCTCTTTTTCCAATTCCTCACCTTTCCCATTCCAAATCCTTCTTGAGGAGTGAGGAGCCGAGTTTTTGGAGGTATCACCTCCTGAAATTTGCAGTCCTAGTTCTCCAGTATCTGAAATCTTGTTTGAATTTATCTTGGGTGCAATAATCCTCTGATCTTCATTTCCTAAGCTCTTCTGGATACCCCCACCAATGGGCATAACATCTTGCTTAAGCTTGGAAGCTATCCTTGAATTGTGCTTGTCCACCAAAGGCATGTTTATATCATCTGTAATTCCTCCTTTCTTGGCCCAATCATCCGATTCATCACTGGACTTCCTATTGTGAACATCTGCGTCTCTCTGAAGTTTTTGGTTAGGATGAATTGCCTTGGGGCTCTCCTCCCTAATCAGATTTTGGATGGACTGTCTCACACGGGGTGAGTGGGGAGGTGAGTTTTGGACAAAAGTCTTTCCTTTTGAGCTATGCAATACTATCTCATCAGTATCTGAAATTCTGTTTGAATCTGTTTTAGATGGAATTATATGCTGGTTTTCATTCCCCAATGGTACATGCTCTTGCTTAAGTTTGGGTGTTGTCCTTGGATTGTGTTCTTCAACTGGAGACATGTCTATGTCATCTGTGAATCCTTTGATCTCTGACCAATTATCACATGCATCACTCAAGTGCATTTGAGACACATCTTTGGCTCTGTGAAGATCTTTGGTAAATGATGGCCCCTTGGGGCTCTCCTCCCCAAACAGATTTTTGAAGAGCTCACTCAAATGCAACTGCCTTTGTGTGTTTTCTATCAATTGGTGATCTATGGGAGGAATTCTAGGAGTTATCTCAACACTATTTGTGCTCTTCATGTCATGAGAATATTTGTTGTAATTTGTGCCTTCAAGTATTGTATTTCCCCCTTGACTATTACCTTCAATTCTGGTTTCCATATCCTCAGAGTGTGAATCAAGAAGATCTCCCTCATCCTTCTCAGACTCCAGAGTTTGTTCTTTGGTACCCCTCAACACATTTGGTATCAAAGGGTCAGAAAATACATTTGAGGGTCTTGAAGATTTGTGGTCCAATGGATTGAGACCCCTGTGAGCCGTGGGGCTATGCTCTGGAATATCTGTTGCTCCAAGTTCTGGCAATTTATTGTTTTGTAATAAACCTCTTTGCTTCTTCTGGGCTAGAGTTTGTATGAAACTTTTTGATATGTTGGTTGACTGGTCAGTAGGAGATAATTTAGGAGATGAGACCATATAATTTGGGTCTTTTGAATCAACACTTATTGTCTTATGGTTTGATTTATCAAAGCTCAGCTCCCCAGCTTGACTATCCCCTTCCGTTCTTGCATTAATTTCTTGAGAGGGAGATTTGAGAACTCTTCTGTGGTCGCTTGACACATATTTTCCCTTCTTCCTGTCAATGAATTTGCTAAATTCTTTATCCCTTTTAGGAGAATCCATTGGTAGAGCATTTTTGAAGCCACTAGTACTAGGGGATTCTGAAGTGTGGTGATCCATCTCTGCTAAAATTTCACCTTCTTCAACTTCTTGTACTGGAAGATCTACTGATATAAATTGGGGTGATCTGTTTTCTGGTAACTCCAGTTGTTTTCCCTCATCTTTGTTGAAGAATTTTCTTTTTTTGGGCATTCTATTTTCATCTTGGGCTATGATATTCATACCACTGCTTGATCCTGTATCCCCCTTTCCCCTGGATCCAATCTCTTGAGACAGTGATTCATGAACTTCTCTTTGGCCACTTGAGGAGTGCTCTCCGTTCTTCCTCTTGAAACCAGGTGGTCCTTCATTCCTTGTGGGTGAATCTATTTCATAAGCATTCTCAAAGACACCATGGGATCCTGGAGTTTTGTGGTCCATTTCTTCAACAATCTCACCCTCTTCAATGTCATTATCAAGGAATTCTTCTGATCCAACTCTTGGCACTTCCTGCTGTGGTAACTCCAATTGTTTCCCCTCATCTTTGCCATTAAATTTTCTGTTATTTGAAAGTGTTTGTTTGTTTAGCATCATGATATCTTTACTGCTTTCTGACTCTTTGTATTTCTGGGGAATGTCCTTTGAAGTCTGTACAGAGGCTCTCATGTACTCAGAAAATAGGCTGTGTAAATCTTTCTCAACCTCAACTGGGTGTGATCTTCCCTTTTCAAGAGAGAGTATCTTATCCAAGCTATCACTCCCTATCAAGTTTCCTGTCATTGGCCAAAGATTTGATGGTTTATTTATGATCAAATCTTGAAGGTGTAACTGACACCCAATGTATATGAAGTAATGCCTTCCCAAGACAAAAGAATTTCTTTCTTGGCGGTTTTTATAGGCAAGACCATGATTTAAGCGTTCTTTTTCATCCATAAAGTGCCATAAGTATCTTGTAAATCGAAGAACACTTTGTTGATCAAACACTTCAAAATACATCCCGTGTTCTGTCCAAAATTTCATAATAGTTTTTGCAATACTTTCAGAAAGCATCCACCACATTACCATATACTTTGCTCTTTGAACTATCGTTTCCCTTTTTGTATACAAAGTGTTTTCATTGAACATGAAAAGTTCATTGATGACGTCCTGAGAAAACCTTAACGACTCTTGGTCCCATTCATCATGACAAGCTTCGAAGATCTCCAATATTTTATACAAGGCTTCAAGAATTCCCAAGTTCTTTTCATCTTCGATGTGCATCAGTCTTCTAAAAAATCTTACTGCTTTTGGATACTTTTTTAGACGTGGCAGTTTGTCTCGAATTTGTATTGTGGATGCACCAGTGGTCACAACCACATCAAGGAGGCTCTTCCAAACGTTGATATGTTCTTGAGACCCAATAAACTCGAACCCCCGGACCGTGTGCTTTAATTGCTCTAGAGAAACGTCACTTGTTCCCCCATAAGGATCTTTAACGTTTAGATGAACCTTCCACCATGTAAGCAGAGCATTTTGATGCATGATCCTAGATGTTATTTTATTACTAAGGATTGGCGTCTTGAAAGGTATTGGAACACCTTCTATCAAAGGATATTTTTTGAATGCTTTTCTTTCTTTGAGACCGTCAATCACAAGATGCTCTACCATGTTTAAAAATCCAATGCTTGCTTGAAATCCTTCCGCATATACCTGTGCGGGGCTTGACAGACAGAAATCTGCGGATAAGTGAGCTCGAGATTGAACCATTGAATCTATTCCAAGGATTTGCTTCTCAAAAATTTTGAATGATAATGCAGATCTCAAAATGTGTCCCAGGAGGTCATCAACACTCCTGGCTCTTTCACCCGACTTGTATTTACGCCAAAGCTTGGATGCACACTCTGCCAACTCGGTTTTTAGGTCTTCAATTACATATTGATGCTTGGGCGCCGCGTCAGGAATGAAGACTCTGTTGATATTATCTACCAATGAACGCAGAACTTCCAGGCCAGAATCTCCTTTGCTAGGCCCACAGTCTATTACACAAGCTTTGAGAATTACTAACAAACCACCTTGGGAGAAGTTTATTCGAGAAAAATTAAAATGTTTTACATACCTTGCATTTGGCGTTTAGCAGTTTTTGTGAACGATCGAGCAATAAATGCGAAGGTTTTCCATGAATCATCATGCATAGTGTCCCAAAAAAATTCTTGAATATGCATGTCCTTTCTATCTATGATGAAGGTAAACAAAATATGAGCTCCATCATCTTGTAGGATTGCGGATCAGAGCCAGCGCAAGCAAAGAGTCTCTGGAGTCTGCAGACAAGCAGAGGACATTTCATACCGGCAAGACTATTGTGCACAATGTCATCATCTTTGACGGTCTTCAAATATGTTTTGGTGAACAAATTACCGAGGACTAAAGCAAAGTAGGTATCAATTAGAAGAAACAATAGAAGCGTCCTTTGCTTCATCTTGACTTGAAGGTAATCCAATATTGTAGTCACAACAACCCAAGTTTTGATAAGTAGCTAATTGGCTTGAATTAAAGTAGGCGAGAATTAAAAAGATACCACAAGTGACCTCTACTTCATCTTGAACTTTTATGTACGTGCGGGTGCAGCAGACATAAGCATCAGATTGCACGTTTCAGCCAATCAACATTACAAGTCTTATACCTTATACCCCATACTTTCAATGTTCAACATCACACCAGAAACTGATTTTTCATCATATATACACAGGAGATCACTGCCACGATCTCATCAGATGACGGTTTCAGAAGTCTATGTACAGGAAAGGTTTCTCAGGGCCAAGACGGTGAATGCGCCACCCATCCTGTTTGGATAAAGTTCATACACTAACCTGCGTAACTCAGTTCCTCAATCAGGCAGTGGTCCTCCGTCTCATCGGGTGTCTGGTGACCGAGCTTGCGAGGTTAGAACGCGCCCTGCGAGATCTTGGGACATGTTTTAAGGGTTCAGACTTATTTTCCTCTCATTGAAGAGCGTGGGTGAATAGTATTAGCAAGCGAAAAGAACCTTAAAAGACCGAGCTGTGCAAAATCAATTGTGCTTTCTTTTATCAGACAAACTGATGGTATGCTCAAGATCAAAGTGGCATTGTTAGATCTATCCCAAACGGCTTAGGGGTTTGACTGCTCACTTGGATCACTGCATCCTCAAGAAGCCTTTTCTGGTAAAAAAAATGATGCCGAGATTACCAGCATTGATAGGTATATCTTCGGACAGGCCATGCAATCTTAGATGGTCAACTTAATTGAATGTATTTATTGAAAGGCTTGCATTTTATTTGATGTTTCTCGTTGTGAGTCAACAGCATTCCATTTTTGCAGACTTGTTGATATTTTTTTGCCTGAGTTGAGATAACTTGGCTGATGCTCGTTTGTACATAGTTCCGATCCGGCAACATGTCTTATTATAGAAGTCAATGTCGGCGCACGGGATATGATTTCAAGGGTTTCTTAATATTTTTTCATCTCGAAGTTTACTTAGAATCACTTGTTACTCTATATGTAGATATAACTGAATCTATGAGCATCCTTGCAATTTACACCATGATGTCATTTAAGAATCTTGCAATTTTCAAATACCAGACCAGATAAGTAAACGGGGAAGATTCCATGGATTGTCGATGATTACAAGTCTTCATTTAAATTTACTAATAGTATCTGTAAACTGCCCAATCGATAATCGTCTCGAGCATATTTTATGTGGGGCTAGTAATTCAAATTGATCTTCCAGTTCCATTTGCTCGATTCGAGGATGGATAGTATTCTCCCGAGGTTAATCTCCAATTTCTCGCATTTTCAACCAATAAAAATCAACTTGCCCAACAATGATGATTGTAAATGTGCCATAATTTGTAATCTAAAGCAGATAGCTTTTGCGAACTGCTGAAGTAGGGCAAGAGCTCGAAACGTTGGCAAAGAGGAAGTCTAGAGACCCGTTTCGATTGATGTCATTTTATTTTTTGTTCAGTAAAGAGTACATGTTTATTGACTGTTCGATGATATGGTCCAATTTCAAAGCGATGTAAAAAATCCAAAAGAATTGGATCAAGTGTCAAGAAAATGCCGACACGGTGAGTGGAAAGGAGAGAGATGTTGAAAGGTGAAAACGGAGATGATTCATTTTCAGTTATCATCTTTATAAATCGGTGTAGAATTGAACAAAAGCTAACCTCTAGGATCATATTTCATTCGAGCAATTTTCCGTTCTGCTGTCCGGACCTTGGTAGTGGTATAAAAGAACCCAGTACCTAACGGTAATCAAAAGATCATATCATATCAATCCCAAGAAAATGGTAGCGGGCATTTCAAAACGGAACATGAGGTGTACCTGCAGTAGAGACCAATTTGACAAGAACGGTTCTGTAGCGTCAAGATATCCAATGTCGATTGTTAGTATGGAGGCTGAAAGATGAGTGGACCGAGAAAGGTTTCTTATGAGCTTACCGAGTTTTTGGTGGCATGGAGAAGCCGTCACTGATGTTGGAAAGACCAAGATGCTCGGAAATTACGCTGAACAAGAAAGAGAAGAGGAAAGTCAAGGGATGAACCCTAACCCTAGTGTCTTAGTCTGATACTGAAAACTCAATTGCCATTCAAAATGAACTCCGCCAAAGACAAAAACATGACAGTCACTACGGATACTTCAACTTCACTTTCATTCTCAACTTGGCTTCCACATCTCAGCAACAATCCACTTCATTTAAATTATAAATCACTTTGGAATTTGGTTCAACAATTACATTCATCTTCTACTCAAGTTGAAGAACAAAATGATCATCATGAAAATCAGAATCAAATCGATCCATGGGAAAGAAGTTTTGCTACAAATTGGTTAACTCGTCTTATGTCTATCTCATTAAAATTATCATCTATAGAGTCATCTGAAGAGTCGATATATAAGTCTCATGATTTTGATGATTGGGACGCTTTAGCTGCTTTTGCTGGCAATGTACTCGCGTTTCTCACTGGGAGCCCGGGTAAGCAACTTTTTGTCTAGCCTATATAGTCATGATCTTGGATGCTTGAAAAAATATCATAGGACCATATTACTAATCGAATTTGTGTATTCAATCATGCTACAGCAACTGCTTCCCAACCTTATACTCGAAAATGTGTATTTGAGCTCAATTCAAATTGTGATCTTCCACCCGCCCACAGTAAAAGTGGTGTGATTGAAATCTTGATTCGCGAGGATATAATGTCATACGCAGCCATCGGATGTCAAACCTGGAATTCGGCGCCATTGCTTTGTCGTCGAATCGCCTCTGATCCACTAAAATGCTTTCCTCAGCTCGCCCCCGCTCAATTGGATCATTCAGTATCATTATCGGCAGATGTGCAGTTCAACACGCCACCATTAATCACAAGTCCCACACGACGTTCGCTCAAAATTCTTGAACTTGGCGCAGGCACTGGACTTGTTGGTATCACTACAGCATGCGTATTGGCTCGATTTTTACGATCAAAGAGTGACGCAACATCACCTATCGATATCGAATTGATTCTCACAGATTATCATCCCAAAGTTCTTGTGAATCTTAATCATAACCTTTCATTAAACGCAGATGGATATGTTCTTCCAGAGGAATGTGAATCAACTTTATCTGTCAAGATTGAAACATTAGATTGGAGGGAGCTTCAAGGTTCTAGTTTATCTCAAAAAGGATATAAGTATGGATTTGATGTGATCCTTGGTAGTGATTTGGTCTATGAACCTCAACATGCTACATGGGCCTCAGAAGCCGTTCAATTCTTCCTCAAACCGAACCTGATTCATGATCTTACGTCTGAACCACCTCAACCTACTTTCCATCTTCTTTTACCTCTTCGTCCAACCTTTGCACTCGAATCTCAAGCTGTTCATAATGCATTTGGAGGTCAAGATATAGAGGAATTACTTAATTCTACTGATCTTAAACTGTTACCTAAACATGATTGTCAATGGGAAGAAGAAGAAAACTCTAAAGCTAAACCTAATGGAATTCAAAGTTTACAGAATAGTGAATTGATGAATGAGAAAAGTGTTTTAGAAATCAAAGAATATTTCAAAGAAGATGGAATTAGTTTTGGTCAAGGTTGTAGTGATTATCAATATTTAAAGATTTGTAGACGAAGTTGAATATTTTTTTCTAGATTATGGTTAAACTCATTTGGAATCATTTTTGTTGGAAATTAGAGCTTTTTATTCTTTAGATTTGTTTATTACATTTCTCTTTGTTCTTATGTGGAATTGGAAATATAGAAGAATTTGTAATCAAAACTTTAAATAAATCAAATTGAATGATAATAGTATTGATCAATGAATACAGTGAGTATCTAGGCTCTTGCAAACTTTACACATCTGAAAAATTCATCTGGACATCATGAATGATCACTGATACTCAAAGATCTGTAATTGTAACTTTAAGGAAAAGAGTAATATTATGGTACTCAAAGTTACATATGTATTGTACATGTATATAGTTGTCTTATACTTTTTGGTTTTTTTGGGTGGTAACAAAAGTGCTTGCTATCTGGGTCCCAAAGTATCTAGCTTTGAGGACCTGTTGCATACATCATATCTACATTTCAAATATGACCCAATTCAATACCAAGTGGAATAGAATTTCAAACTTTTAACTTTTATGACATACAAGCATGCAAAAGAGCACAAGTTTTTTGTAATTTTGTGCTGTGATTTTGTGAAATGAAATGTAGATATCTTTAATCATGATGGTCAGCTGGTTTGATATCAAAACCAAAAAGCCTAAAACCACTAGGTATTACTTGATCTTCATCTGTGTTGACATTTGTTGAAGGGGAATTTGGTGGTGCATCCACAATGGTAATGGCTTCTGGCCACATACTGATTCCTTCTTTTGGATGGTCAAGGTTTGATTTGTCAATATCTTTACCTGAATGAAGGGTTTTGAAGGAATTGCCCTGATTTTGCACCTGGCTTGATGAAGAAACCATATCAGAGGGATAAAACTTGATAACATGACCTTTAGTTTTTTCACCACCCTTCATTAAGATATCCTCCTTACTAGATTTAGGATGTGTAATACTCCAGATATGTTTTGGTGGGATCTCTACTTTCAATCCCTTGTCTTTTGCTTTCCAAATCCTACTTGAGATTGACTGAGGGGCTGGGCTTATGGTGGAGGTATCTTCTGACCCGTTGTATACACCTGCAATTTTGTTTGGTTTTAATTTGGGTGGTTTAATCCGAGTATCTTCTTTTCCCATGCTCTTCTGAATACCCTTGCTAGCAAGAGTGATATCTTTCTTAAACTTTGAAGCTGTCCTTAAAGTGTGGTCTTTGACTGGAGAGATGTCTACATTGTGTTCAATTCCTTGGATCTCTGACCAAGCATCAGATGCATGACTGAGCTGCATACTGTAAGATCCTGTGTCTTCCTGAAGGTCTTTTGCAGAAGATGGCCCCTTGGGTGTTTCCTCTCCAAACAGCTCTTGGAAGAGCTCACTCAGATCCAACTTGGGAGGATCTTGTTTTTTTGGGGTTGTTATCAAATGGTGAAGTTGAGGGGGAATGTGAGGAGAAGAGACAAGATTAACTCTTGATTTTGGGGTTGACATCATATGAGCTGTGCTCTTTGTGTCAACACTCATTGCCTTGTTGTTTGACCCATCAAATTTCAGATCACCTATTTGCCTAATGCCCTGTCTTTTAGCATTCATCTCATGATGATGTGATCCAGGCACTTCTCTTTGGTCTTTCACTATGTATTTTCTCTTCTTACTCTTGAATGATTCAATTTTTTCTTTATCTTTTGTTTGAGCAGCTATTGGCAAAACATTGCTTGGGCTATCATGTGATTTAAAATTGTTGTGAAGCATTTCTACCACCATCTCAGCATCTCCAATGTCTCTTGCTGGGGAATGAGGTACGGCCCTTGGTAATTCAAGCTGTGTTTTGTTCTCTTTGGTGATCAACTTTGTTCTTTGGGGGATGTTGTGTTTGTTTTGAGCTATGATTTTCATATCACCTCTGTACCTTGGATCCCCTTTGCGTATGGTTTTGATCGCTTGAGAGAGTGTTCCATGCACTTCTCTTTGGCTGCTTGATGTATATTTTGCTTTCTTCCTTTTTGAGCCTTCATTCCTGGTTGGGAACATTGATGAATGACTATTGTCAAAGCCACCAGGGTATCCTGAATTGTTATGATCCATGCTTTCCACAATTTCACCCTCTTCAATTTCGTCACCTGGGACATTTGCTGATTCAACTCTTGGCAATTGTTTTCTGGGGAATTCAAATGCTGTTTCATCATCCTTGCCACTGGATTTCCTTTTTTCAGGAACTCGTTGCTTATCTTGGATTATGATACCTGTATCACTTTGTGAATCTTTGTGTATCAGCAACATTTGCTGTGATGTTTCTGCAAAGCTTTTCATGTATTCAGAGAAGAGGTTGTGTAAATCTTTCTCAACACCAAATGGGTGTGTTATGCTGTTGTCAAGAGAAATTATGCTTTCCAAGCTGTTGCTCCCCACTAAGTTTCCTGTCATTGGCCAAAGGTGTGATGCTTCTTGAGTGATTAAATTTTGAAGGTGTAACTGACAACCAATATATATGAAGTAATACCTGCCCAAAGCAAAAGCAGTTCTTGGTTGGCGGTTTGTAAAGCTGAGACCATTTCTGAAGGTCTGTTTCTCATCCATAAAGTGCCACAAGTATTTGACATATCGTAGAACATCTGAGTAATCAAACCCTTCAAAATCCAACCCATGATCCTGTCCAAGCCTCAAGATAATTTTTGCAACACTTTGAGAAAGTACCCACCACATCACCATATACTTTGCTCTTTGAACTACAGTTTCTCTCATTGAAGCCAGAGTGTCTTCACTAAACCTAAACAATTCAGTGATGATATCCTGAGCAAATTTTAATGTGCGCCTATCCCTGTGATCATGACAACTATCAAAGATCTCCAATATTTCACACAACTCTTCAAGAATCTCCGAGTCATGTTTGTTGTCATTATCCATCAGTCTTCTAAAAAAAAACTTTGCGGTTGGATAGATTTTCAGAAGTGATGATATGTCTTCATTTTTTTTCTTGGAAAGACGACTGGTTTCAGCCACACCAACAAGTCTCTTCCAAATATTCATGTGGTTTTGAGTTCCAATAAACTCAATACCCCGGAGCTTCTTCTTTATTTTCTCTGCAGTGACTTCATTCCGGGACATATAATAATATGGATCTTTGGTGCTCAGCCGACACTTCCACCATGTGAGCACAGAATTCTGGTGCACAATCCTGGATGTTACTTGGTTAGCAGCCAATTGCCTCTTGGAAGGTATTGAAGCATCTTCTCGCAAAGAGAACTGTCTAAACAACCCTTCGTCTCTGAGACCATCCATCACAAGATGCTCTACCATGTTCAAAAACCCAATACTTGCTAGATATCCTCCGGCGTATATATGTGCAGGTTTCGATGTAAGAAAAGCTGCTGATAATCGATATTGAGATTGACCTGTCGCAGCTCTGTCACGGAGATAAGTATGAGTCTGGAAGATGTTAAATGCCAACGCAGATTTCAGAATATGTTGAACAGTTTCGTCAACAATCAGCGTATTTTGATACGGCCAGTGTTGTCCCAAAACCTTGGACGCATGCTGTGCAAGCTGAACTTTTAGATCCTCAACTACATGACGATGCTCGGGTGCCGCATTAGGAATGAATACCCTGTTTATCTTATCTACCATTGAAAGAAGAGCTTTCAGGCCACGATCTGCTTGGTTAGGCACACTGTCTACCACACGTGAAGGTTTGAGCAATTAATGACGATTCACCTCTCATGGGTGCAATTCTAGGAAAATCAAGATCGGCTTACCTTGCATCTGGTTTTTAGTAGGTGTTGCGCGCCAATGAGCAGTAGTTGTCAAGCTCTTCCATGAATTATCATGTACACTATCCCAAAAAGCGTCTTGAATTCTTATGTCATTTTCACCTATGAAGCATGAAAGTGAATCAAACATCAGCTCCATCATCCTTCCAAATTGACGATCAGGGCCAAAGTTGCCAAAACATTCGCAGATACAAGGTCATCATTTCATACCGGAAAGACAACCATGTATAGTGTCATCATCTTTGATGGGTCCCAATTCTACTTTGGTGAACAAATTGCAGATAACCGAACCAAAGTAGGGCAAAATTAAAAGAGACGCCAGAAGTGTTCTATGCTTCATCTTGAAAGGTAGTCAAATGTTGTGGTTAAAATTAACACACAGTGTTATAGACAGTTGGATTGAAGAAACGTGGGAGAAAAGTGAGAGAAATACTCCAGGTATTCTTCGCTCCATCTTAAACTTTTAACTACGTATGGGTACCCGCAGATTGCTAATACATAACAGTTTTACATTGGTCCAACAAGTCTTGTATCAACCTGTATCTCTTGCTGCGTATGTTCAACATCGCACCAGAAACTGGTTTCTCATCATCATATGCGTAGCCTGACGATCACCTAATGGAATGTTTCAAAGGTCCATGTAGCTGAAAATAGATCAGGGCTAGGACGGTGAATTTTTTTTTTTTTATTTTTTTTTTATTTTAGAGTGCTTTTGATTTCACATATCGCACTAGCTAACTTTGTAAGTCTAATGTAAAAGTTTACAACCACCGCTAATCCTCCCGCTTGTACCGGACTACCAAGCCTTTACAACAGGTTCTTATGTTCTAACCACGCGCCCAAAAGAATTTACACCACAAGAAAAAGTAAAAATGAAAATAAGATAACATAAGATGATAGAAAAAAAAAAAAAAAAGATAACTATTTCATAGATCAATAATATGCATGTTGGCTTTCTATTTGTCTAGGTATGTTTGTAAATAAAGAAATCTTCCAGTTTCTTGAATGTATTGAGCTAAATATGGGTAGACTTTAGGTGTGTCCAAAAGTCTTCTTGCTGAGTTGATGTCCACCTTGATCTTTTCTTCTTTCAGTTTATTTCTAAACTTTTGCCTGTGTTTCGTGTATTTCTTGCAATACACTAAGAAATGTGCCGGTGTTTCTCAGGTTGAGACCCGTCCCCCGAGTGCCGGGTTTCGAGGCGCCGACAAGATATAATTTTTTTTAAGCGTCAGCACGGCACCCGAGCCCGGCAAACCCGATTAATTTTCCCAGCTACAGCCTGAGAACGCCTCCCGGACCGAGAGCCTTGACGGGGGCGCCGGGCGCCGGGGGATTTCCGGGTAAACCCGGTAATCCGAGGCAATCCGAGGCAATCCGAGGCTTGAGAGAAAAAAGTCGTGATCGAAAGAGGTCTAGGAACTCTCTGGGACAAGATATGGCCAGGAGGAGTCTAGTCCCTTGCGCTCAAAACTTCAAAGCAAGGGACTAGACCCATTGAGATCATGTGAGAAATAAGATTAATCATTAAAAGACTTGAGAATTGAGACTCGATTCAAGAGATTTTGATTTAAACATTTCCTTTCGTTTTCCAACCAACAACCCAATCATTTATCTAACAAGAAATTCTAACGACACATTCATATTGAATATGTCAAGCACTCCTACTACTAGTACTAGCTCTGTACCTAAGACTTCCGCAACAGCAACATGACACTTGTACCGTACTGTCAAGAATCTCACTTCCAAGGTCCTCCCTATCATTGTCGATTAGCCTTTTTATACAAATGTCTGCGTTGTTTTGTCTTTGTTGTTGTTTCTATTGCTATATTATCCTCGATTCCTCTCATTGCTTTTATGACTATTCCCCCGGGGTCCCCGAGGAGAATCGTTTTTTTTTTCCTGCCATAACGACCCCCCGGAACGACTATCCCCCAGGGTATAGCCATCCAATACAGGCTGGCTCGAACCCTGAACCCGCCGGGAGCGCCCGCGGGGACCCGATATTCCCCGGGTGTCGGGGCTCATCCTGAGGTGTTTCTATAGCAAGACATGCTTCACACTTGTTATCTTCTTCTACTCCTATCCTATGTAGGAATTTCTTCAATGGGCAGTGTCCGCATCTTAGTTGAAAGATTGCTGCGGCCTGTCCTTTTTCAAGTTTATCCAACGCATCAGCAATCCATTTGCTCTTTGTTTTGTAAGAAGTGTTGGAGATAGATCTAAGTCAGTTACTTGTTTGAATTGTACGAGCGCTATCATGATAGCCATAGTTTCCATTTCATAATTTGATATTCCGTCCGGTGGCCCATATGAATGGCTCGCGGTCCTCCCTTCCATTGCTATTGCTGCACCTCCTCCCACTTCTTCAATGTATGACCCGTCCGTGAAGATAACACATGCGCCTTTGTCGTTTTCTTCTTGAATTTGGGTCGGTACTTGTTCTTTAACTTTCTCGCGTTTGTCTCCTAGGTTCTCAACCTGCCATCTAGGCTCTTCCCATGGGGGGGTCGGGTATGGATAGATTGTTTCTAAAATGTTTGTGTTAGGTAAAAAGATGTCAGTTTTTCTAATCAATCTGTGAATAGGACTTTTATGCGTAGCTGGTTCATTTAGTAATTCGTGTTGTATTATTTGTCTTGATGGGTGAGAGGCCGGTGCCGTCAGTCGTTTGTACACATAGTCGTGATGATATCGTAAAGCTAAATTCTTGAAAGTTACCATGTCTGCATCATGGTACATCTGGTCTGTTGGTGAGCTCTTGAAAGCTCCCAAGATTAGTCGATTCGCTGCATTTTGGAATTGATGAAATATCTTTGATACTTTACTTTCTGTCCGTGTATTGAACCACACTATACTTCCAAACAGTATTCTAGGTTTTAATATAGCCGTTATCAATGTTTTTGTCTCTTTTGGGCTTAGGCCATGGTAACATCTGCTAATTCTACTAAGCTGAGCTATGGTTGCCTTTCCTCGAGCTACCATTCTGTGTATGTGAGGTTTATATGTCAACTTCGGATCTAACCAGAGGCCCAGCCGTCAACTTCGGATCTAACCAGAGGCCCAGCCACCGGAGTTCAATCGTTTTCGGCTGTAAGGTCTGTGTTCCAAATAAGAAATTTGGGTTAGCATGTTTCTTATGTGTAAAATGCATAATTTGGGCCTTTTTTTGGTCAAAAATCGCTCCATGTCTCCTTCCCCACTCAAGTGATCTTTCGCCCTCCTCCTCCAGGTCTAGAATGTTGAGGTCAATGTCTTTGTTAGCAACTAGATGTGTTACATCGTCTATGAAGCCTAGAGATATTTTTAAACTCATCAGAGTCCCACGCTCGAGTCCTCGCGAGACGTCGAGCGAGGGACTCAGGACAAGTTTGCTTGTTTTGGCCTGTGAGGGTCAAGCGTTTTTGGTGGAGAGATTTGCTGTCCTTATAAAACTTTTTCACCTATTTGTGAAATTTTTTACACCAAAGAAACTTTTTGTTCGCCTTGGTGAGACGCACATTTATATCAAAAAAAAACGAGGAAGTAGATCCCCTCCCTTCTTTTTTGCCTCCAGAAGCTGGTGGTTTGTGCCTTTACTATTCCTGTATTTGTATGTAGCACGCAATTGTAATTGCTGCGAGTATACACATCCACCTTGTGCTTTTTGGCTTGGTTTTGCCCAACTATCTTGCTGAAAACTACAGTTCAACAAGTGATGCTTACAATTTCATCTCTTTCATGACAGACGTATTACCAATTCTGAGCGCTTCGAATGACCCGATATGTTCATAGATATTCATAACTATTTGACATATAGACCACATTAGAACCATCTGAAGCCAGGGGTTGAGTAGAAAATACAAAGAAATACATAAAAAATTCAAAAGCAGAAAAAATTGATGGATACATTCTCATCTCTTTTGCAACGTATTACCAATTCTGAGCGCATCAAATGGTCAAATGTCCCAATAGATATTCATAACTATAGTCATACACAATAGAGCATTACAAGCATCTCATATTTTATGACATGTGGATGGATACCAATTGCAAATAATTAAAAAGGAAGAAAAACCCTGCACAAAATCCCCTAGTAAACATTGGAAATGTGATCCCAAAAAGGTTATATGAAATTGCAGAACATTTCTATCTTCAATACTCCACATATAACAATACGGCCCTCATTAATTCTCGGTAAATCTTTGAGAAAAAAAAACAAAATCAAACTTTTATCTTTTTTGATCCGCTGTTATAAACTTCTATAAACAATTTCTTCCTCCTCATCTCTCGACAAACTACAAACCAGCAGAAATGCCAGCCCACCGCCAAGTTGAGGGATTTAAACCTACTGCCCGTATGATATCAGAGACTGTTTCTTTCTTGAAACACCTCAAAGAGATAGATTTGCCTCTTAAAGATGTATTACTTACTTTGATCCTGGGTGTCGATGACAACGATGAACTCGCCACACTGCGACGATACTGGAGCTCCAACCGAGGTTGGCCTTCAACGTTGAACATCCTGATGGCCTTCAAGAAGGCGGTCGTTAGTAAGTCACTGACTGGTCAACAGCACTGGGATCGATGGATCTTATCTGAGGTATAGATACTTCCTTGTATAACTAAGCTTTGACGTATGCTGATTTGGCCACCCATGATGGAAAACCTTGTCATTTTATTTCACAGGCTACGAAAATAGTTGCCGCAGAGAGCAGGCCACGCTCAGTCTTTGGACCTCCAACCCCAGCACATAGGATCACTCATTCGTTCTTTGGTATTGCTCGCACCGCTGAACGCTATGCTGCTCTCAAGAGAGGAACCGGTTTCCTATGGCATCTGATCCGGGGTAGTATTGGCCGTTATCGTCAAGTGGAGGGGATAGATGAGACAGCCTATCTGATTGACCCTCCAACTGTGTCGGAGTCTGAAGCCGCGCCTAGCAATCCGGCTCAGTCGTCAAACTTTGCAGCTGCCCACGGCGATGAACTCTCTGAGGTTACAGTCATGGATACTGACAAAGTGCAAAAAGACACTAGTGATTCTTCTAGCTCCTCCGAAGAACCACTTGTTCCGTTGATTGAACCGGATGTTCAACATGGAAATGATGAAGATGAAATGAAAGAGATTGAGGAAGAATTGGATTGGGGAGATGAAGAAGCTGGAGTTATTTATGTTGATTCAGTGGATCGCAAACAATTGTGGACCACACGGGCAACCAATGTGAGATTTTCTTTGGTTTTATTTTTGTCTCCAAAGCTGTTTTGAGGAAAACCCCTACCTTTGAACCACAATTTTTCGGAACCAGGTTGCAAACACAGTGTGTTCAATGGTTTCCTATGTCTGCAATCGAGGCGTGAACGGCTTGGCCCTTGAAAACTCTCTGGCTTTCATGGCCTCAGGGGCAAGCAGCAGGTTACACCACTATTTACATCATATCGGTCTAACTGCGTCACGCCGGACTGCCATTAGGATGGCAGCGCGGCTCACGCATGTATCTCTAAGTATTCTGCGTGACCGATTAGCCCGCAAATATGTGATTCGTCCGTTCCTCACGATTGATAATTTTGATATCATGGAACGTGTGCATTATTGTCGGCTAGACGCAGCTTCACGCATGTTCCATGGAACATGGGGTTATTTTCACTTTCACTCTAAAGACCTGATTGCGGAAGTCAAACCTGAAGAGTTAACTTTTGACTCTTTTGTTACCTCAATGCAGGAAGCTGAAAATGCCCCTGTCAAAGCGAAAAGCTTTCTACCTGATGACTCACAATTGTTACATTGGGATTCCGTCCTCAGGAGTCAACTTAATCAGGCCTACCTTGACTACATACTCACCAAGAACAACACTCACACCCCAAAGTCCATACCTAAGCTCTCAAAAAATCCACACTCAATAGAACGCATCAAGCCGACCGAGCCCGATGTGGTAATGCTTCAGTTGATTGACGCACCAGACTCTTCAGCAGGTGGGGTTGGCCAAGTTCTCGAACAAGTAGCAAGACAAACGGGGCGCTTGGTCAAAGATAACGTAGATGATCTTCAAATAATTGAAGGTGATGTAGGTACATGTCTGAATCTAGAAAGTTTGAGATGTAAGCGAGCCCCCTCAGCCAAGCGTTATGACGGACTTCATAATTTCCTATCAATTCCCGGAGCAGCTCATACTATGTGGAACAACGCTCAAGTGCTTATTGGAGAGGGGTGGGGCAACCCGGACGAGACAGACGATACTGGATTCGGTGCTATGTGGCAAACTTTGGGTGGTCGACCTGAAAAACCCGTCATCAAGAAGGACTTTGGTGTGATTATGAGAATGATATTTCATATTCACAGTGCGCTTTTGGTCCATTGCTTGAGGTCAGATCTGATATGTATGATGTGCTCAGCTATGTTATAATTACTGCCTGACAGTGATGCTTTGAGAATTTGCAGCCAGGTCAAGGATCAGATGAACAAGCCTGTCGATCTTGAAGATACTAAAACGGTGCAACAAATTATTGATACTGCTCATGATCAGTTCATGACGCTGAGCAGCCTGCGAGCTGCTAAAAGCCAAGGTGATATTCGAGGCTACAACATGCGATTACAAATCCGCGACTTGGCTACCATGGTGGAGGCTAATCAAGCAACCAAACAAGGTGATATTGGCCGTTTGATGCTGATGTGGAAAAGGTGGTCTATCATGGCGCACGGCATGTCTGGTCTTTCGCATTATCGAATGTATCTTCCTCGCCTTATCCTCCTCCTCGAAGATTACCTACCAAGGGGTCTAGCACATATCATCAAACATTCAACCCTCCTTTCTACGCGTGGCCATGCAGATCATTTTGTAGCTAAAGATTTGTATCTCGAGCACCAGAACTGGTGGCTGAAATACTTTTTTAATCAATCAGTGAGTTCCATATGACGTTGCTTATAGTTTGTTAAGTCTCTTATTGGTTTATAATTTTCACACATAGGGTTCTGGGACTAGAATCAAGATCCTATTGGACTGATTCTCTGCAAATATCAACCTAGTGAGTTTTTAGGTTCTTTTTGGAGATGGCGCGTCATGCAACTTAGATGTGTGATTTTCTTTTAAAGCTACGCCAATTGATTAGAAACCTCCGATTGAGATCGGGTATGGTGGAAATGTTTAGGCATAAGAAGCATCTGATCAATTCCCGATCTCTTGCTAAATTCCTAACTTGGAGTAACAAAAATTTGACCGAAACAAATGTAGCACAGCAGCCAGAAGAGAAAAAGGATTTGATGGATCTGGGTTACATCAATTTTCAGAAATTGCTTCAGAAAGAAGTCATACACAAGGAAAGTACCCGATTTCGATGGGGAACCCCCCAAGCGTCATTCCCAAACATAGACGACTTGGATTTGCTTTCGGAAGCTTCCGGCAAAGCTGATGCTGCGGATGCTCTAAGCGAAGCCGATGCTGAAGGCTCGTTGGATAATTCAGCATCAGAGGAGGACACGCATATGTGTGAGTTCAAACCATCTTTGTCAGATAAATCAATTCTGAAACTACATACCTTTTGTAGGTGGGATGCATGAGCATTAGTTATGAGGGTCATATCTAATGCTGCTTGGGTGGAACTTGTGAATGGTAGTGATGATGATAGGTGTTGTAGTAAACATTTTGATGTTTGGAAGTTTGAGTGGAGTAGTTGAAGTCTTCATGATCAGCGTAGTTTTGAAGATGTTGTTGGTTAGAAGGATGGTTTTGAGTTTGCATAGGAGTGTGGTCGGTGGTCTCATAGTTTGGATAATCGCGGTAGTTTTGATTGTCACTTCTAAGATGAGCGTAGTTTTCATAGTCACAATGTTCTGTGTAGTATTGACTATAGGATCTATTTTCCTCGTTAGTGTAGTTTTGACGATCAGGTGGTAACATTCGATTGAGATCTCCATTATTTACTCTGACCTCACCTAAGTAGTTTCGATTATCACGTTGTGGTATTCGATTGTGATTATAGTAGTTCTCATTAATTTCTCCGTTCTTTTGATATTTTTCCTCTTGATTCTGATCACCGTAATTTACTCTGCCCTCACCTAAGTAGTTTGAAAAATCACGTTGTGGCATTTGAATGTGATCGTAGTAGTTCTCCTTATTTTCTATGTTCTTTTGATAGTTTTCCTCGTTTCCGTAGCTTTGAAGATGAGTTTGTGGCAGTGGTATTGGATAGTCTTTCGAGTAGATCAGATTGTGATTCAAGGGGACGATGTTTTCACTGTAGGTGTTTGCATCGTGATTGTTGTAGTTCTGATTGCGATGAGAGTAGTTGGTGTTGTTATCGTAGGTGTGGGCATTGTTATAGTAGTAGTAAACATTGTCATGGTGGTAGTTTGGATTATGTTCATACGTAGGTGTATACATACTTTCATGACTATCTTCTAATCGTGGTCGAAGGGCTGGCTCTTCTGCGGAAGCGCCCAAACCAATTGATCTTTTGGGAGGTCGATTTGAAACTGGAGGTGTTTTTATGATAGGATCCAAGCAAAGTTCAGACTCTACAACCTCATGACCATTAGTTGGAATCGGATAATGGTGAAGCGCCTGACCAGGTGGATGGGTTTGAGGGTCTTGAGATACAAGAAGCTCTGGAGGTGGATTGCTGATAGTCTCCAAAATTTTTTCGTCTTGTCGAATATCTGACTCTACAACCTCAGGGTCCTGAGTCGGATTTGGATCCTGTATCATATGAGTTATTTGGGATACCAGTTGAGCTAGCTCCTTTTCTTTATTCCGAGTTTCTTTCTTGGCTTTCCGGACCTCCTTCGCCCAAGCAGCATCGTATTGCAGTTTTGATATTCCCAAAATGTCCTTTTGATTTTCTTTGTAGACAGATGAGCACTTCCACTGCTCAATCGTATTCAGAACACAATCGAACTGCCCATCACAAGCTTCACTTGCCAGTACTTTGCGTAATTAAGAATGGTTGACGAGTATGTCAGAATTCTTTGCCGCGACCCAGGCTTGTTGCTCTGATAGCATGGAGTCACTTGAAATGAAGTGATCGTCTCTGGGGAATAATGAGCTGTACAATGATTTGAAGTTTTTAAGCAGAAGCGCCTGTAGTTCGATAAAAGCTGGCGATGAGCGACATTTATCTTTTGCAGGACAAGTTAGAATGGTTGATTCGACGGAAGAAGGCTGTCTCGGTTGTACGGTCACAGTTTCTGGGCAGATTGGTACCGGAACTGAGCCGTTAACTACATCAACAAATGTAGCACGTGTGGCATGCTGTTGCGATTCGATCAGGCCAAAGAGCAGGTCAGGCCGACAATTTGAGCAGAGACAGGGGGCGATCTTAATTTGCCGATTATATTCCTTGATATACTCCTCATCGTCGAAGTGCAATGGAACATAGCCCAATCTAACGTTTGAAACTTTCCATCAATAACACTAGATAGCATAATGAAGTTTGAGAAAGGGTATACTTACTCATTGTCTATAGCAAAAGCCACACGAAGACACACAGGTGTAATTGCTAACCCATCCATTTGGTCATCATCCGACATTTTTTTGACGTTCTTAAAATCTTTTACCTGATTTTTACCACCCCTGCGACTTGGCTCAACTAGCATGACCCCCAAACCAGCGCGGTTATCTCGTCCACAGCGGCCAAGCATTTGACCGATAGTGGCTGGGTCAGCCCGTCCCATCACAATTACACGCTGTACTATATCCCAGTTTTGCCCCAATCCTAGAGCCATGGTACAACATATAATTGCAAACAATCCGGCCACAAAGTCCTCTCCACGCTCCAATTTGTCTTCCGCTCCAGTATCCACATGATAGCAACGTGCACATGAGCTATTACCATGATGTGTATCGCGAGGACGTCTTCGAGCCACATTAACCGCTTTCATAGTGTTATAGGTATGGTTCTGAGTTCCGGAGTATATCAGAGTTTGGGGAAGATCACAATCAGGTACACGGTCCGCCGGGGGGAAAAAGCGATTTAGGTCCTTTGCAGACTTGAGTGAATGACTCATTGTCAGTCTGATAAAACGGATCTTGTAACGGACCAAGTCGGCTCAAATTTCATTGACATCACGATCTCGGCGCCAACGTAGATTTTTTAGTATTGCATCAAATGCCTTGGGTCGACATGTAGCCAACATGAGGAGTACAGGTGCGTGTTCAGTAGCGGTCAAACGACTAAAGAGGTTTCCATATGAGGGGCGAAAAATACCGATATCCTGCACTTTTCCTGTAAGGTTCTATTAGAACCTTCACTGAAAGTCCGGAAACTTGTCCGGCTCGACTTCTCACGAGAGCACAGGAGGACTTGGAACTTTGTTATAGTTTCAAACTAGCTCCGGAAAAGTCCAAGTAAGGCTCTCAGAGGAGTCAGTAAAGTAGAAAAGGTAAAAGAAACAGAGAAATAAGAGAAAAAGCTTGAATTCTCACCTAGCTCCGGAAAAGTCCAAGTAAGGCTCTCAGAGGAGTGAGGACTTTCCGAAGCCGGGCGTTGAGGAGAAAGGTATAATGAAACTGTATAAACCCATAATGTGAAACCCATGATATCCTGCCTACACGTGTACTTCTTACATTTCCCCAGCTTGCTGTTTTACGGGCTAAACCACTCGCGACAAGCCCCCACGTATAGATCAAATGTGCTTCGTCTACCACTTTCAAGACAACACGCTTCTGAAAACACTCATTAAAGTACACTTTCAAAAAGAGAGGACTATTGAGAAATATTTCGGGACTCTGGAAGGAATGTCTGGTAAGTTGATAGAACTTTATTCAGTCAGAGTGATGAACTCACAAGGTAAACGAACTGATACTTTGCAGCTAAAAGATCTACAGCTACTTCTGGGGTCATGGTTGCTTGGGTTAAGTTGATTGCCGAGAACTGATGCTTGACTTTGTCGGACACCTGAAGCAATCTGATCTGTCAGTTTCGGTAAGATCCAATTATTACTAGTTGAGCTCACCTGATTATCTCCAAGAGCGTCTAATGGGTTCAGAATCAATACAATTGGCTTGGCCACTTTTGGAAAGAGCAAGAGGAACAGCTCAGCCACTTGAGTTTTTCCAAATCCCGTTCCGGCCAGCAGGAAAGTATTGAGGCCATTAATTAAACTGACTACAGCATCCACTTGTTTTGGTCGTGGTTCGTGACCAAAGTGAGAAATACAAAGTTCTATCACATGTTGACGCATGGATTCATCATTGGCAGTGGTAAGCCAATTTGGAAGCGTGACACGTTTGTTTGCAGTATGATCGGCGGGACGGGCCAACACGTCTACCAGGCCGGGCATCGATTTGCTTCGCGTTAACGGCATGATTCCGGGTGGGTGGTCAATCTTGAAAGGATTTGGTGGTGATGGAATGTACAGTTGAACCGTGAAAGTGATCTTTGGCAGTGAGCACGCAAGAGTGAGTTTAGCAAGAGTGATACTTGGCAGTGAGCACGCGATGTGGCCTCCAAAATGCATTTTGGGAGACCAGGCATTAAGGTTGAAAGAGTTTCTGACTAAGGTTTTGTCTCCGCAGTCGTGCTACAGTTACATTTGACAAACCACCAGCTTCTGGAGGCAAAAAAGAAGGGAGGGGATCTACTTCCTCGGTTTTTTTTTCGATATAAATGTGCGTCTCACCAAGGCGAACAAAAAGTTTCTTTGGTGTAAAAAATTTCACAAATAGGTGAAAAAGTTTTATAAGGACAGCAAATCTCTCCACCAAAAACACTTGACCCTCACAGGCCAAAACAAGCAAACTTGTCCTGAGTCCCTCGCTCAACGTCTCGCGAGGACTCGAGCGTGGGACTCTGATGAGTTTAGCAGCAACTAATCTTGATTCTTTACGCTACTCGGTCAATTGGTTGACCTAGGAAATTGATTAGGACTCAGTAGGTGAGTCTGAGAAAGCTACTGAGTCGCCAGGTTTGACTCCGGCTGAATCATGATGTGGTGTCTTATTTGATGCGCATGATGTGTGTTACAAGCAATCCTCAGCAGAGTGGCTTGAGCAAGATCTGGCTTGAGCGAGTATGCCCAAGATATATGGGCTCAGAGCACTCTGAGATGTTCCAGAGCGCTGTTATGTCTTCAGAGCGCTCTGAGGACACGCAACAGTGTTCTGCAGATGATGCCACCCAGAGCGCTCTGTAGCCACCCAGAGCGCTCTGAGGGGTTCAGAGCGCTCTGAAGACTTGAAATTTTTGAGGTAAGTTACAAAATCCTCAAACTCAGCAGAAAGGGAGTAGACAGTGCGCATTGAGTGCCTGATGCTCAAAAACTTTACAAAAAAAAGTTGTGAACATGACTTATGTTGCGAAAAAGGCTGCTCCAGAGCGTCTGAGTGCTCTGTCTGCAAAGGACCGGCTTCCAAGTCGAAGATACGGTACACTGTATGGTCGACTTGTAAGTCTCTCGGAGCAGGTGCCACAGGTGCATATCACCCCTAATCAAAAATTTTGCTTTATTATATGTAAGATGTGCAACAGTCATGATATCTCTTGATGTGATCTCTACTTCCAATCTCCTGCCTTTCCCTTTCCAAACTCTACTCGACACTTACTGACAGTGAGGAGCTGGTCTTTTGATGGAAGCACTGTGTCCGTGTGGCGGTCTCTCAATGACAAGCGCACACAGACTGCCTTTGAGGCACAAAGGCAATTCATGTGCGCTTGCCAACAAGCAAACACCACACAAACACAGTGAAGTATCCTCCAATTTGGATTCAATACCTGCAGGCTTGTTTGACTTGATCTTGGAAAGGTTAACTTGGTTATTTTTTCCCCCAAATTTTCCTAATATTTTCCCCAGTGAGAGTTAGATCATGCTCAATGATCTTGTGTTCTATTCTCAAATTATAGTCTTCAACTGGATAAATCTGTACATTGTCTGCAATTCCTTTGATCTCTGGTCAAACATGAAATACATCACTGGGTGGAGTTCTGTAAAAGTCTGTGTTTCCCTGAAGTTCTTGGGTCAACAATGGCACCTTGGGGGTCTCATTTTCAAACATCTCTTGGAAGAGATTACTTGGGCACACATGGCAAGACTCCTGTCTTTGTGGAGTTTTTATCAAATGATTAATTTGAGGAGAAATACCAGGAGAAGAGACAATATCAATTATTGATTTTGCTGATGAGACCATCTCATTTGTGTTATTTTTGAGAAAACTGCAGATGAGTGATATGAAATTGACCATCTCCCATTGGGGCTTTTTCAAGGAAGTTGTGTTGCGTCTGGAACATTTTGAATGCTTATGCAGATTTCAACATATGTTCCATGTCTCCATCACCAATCAGAGATATTTTCATCCGATTTGGATCTACGCCAGATCTAAGATGCATGCTTTGCAAACTCAGCTCTTAGGTAATCAATGACATGTTGATGCTTGGATTAGGCATCAGTGACAGCAGTGTAGATCTTGTTGATATAATATACCATTGAAAGCAGAGCTCTCAGGCCATAATTGGATTTTCCGGGACCACATTCTAGCACCCAATATTTGTAAAATTGCCATCAATTCACCTTTGGAGAGAGCAAGTCTAGAAAAACCAAGATGTCCTTCCTTTTCATTTGTTGTTTTAGAAGATCTTGAAGATAACTGAACAGTAGATGTTAAGTTCTTCCATGAATCATTGTGCATAACATCCCAAAAAGGTATCACAAATCCTTGTATCATTTTTACCTATGAAGTACCAAAGTATATCAAACATCAGCTCCATCATTGTGCATAATTAGAGATCAGGACCAAAATTCCAAGAAAGTCTGTAGATAAAAAGTTTGTATAAGAAAGAACACTGTGCACAATGACATCATCCTTGATGGTCTTAAAATATGCCTGGGTGGTCAAAGTAAAGAGGACTCGAGCAAAGTAGGTAGCAACTGAAAGAAACACTAGAAGTGTTCTTTGATTCATGTTGGAAAGTTTATGATAGTGGAAGTGAATTATTGTGGTCAGGGTTAACTGAGATTGTTATAGATGATAGAACTGAAGGAAAATTAAAATCAAAATACTTCAGGTATTTTTTGCTTCATCATGAGCTTCTATATACTTGTGAGTGCACAGTGTGATCTATCAAAACAATTGATTGGTAAGCTTTTCTGCCAACCAACATCACAAGTCTTGGTTCTCATGCCTCAGATGTTTAACAACACACCAGAAACTGATTTTCTGCAAAAAAACACAGTCAATGTAGAAAAGCTTGACAAATTTTGGCTACAAAACTTGAACAAATTGACAGGGAGTTTGTGAAAGACTGTTCTGAATTGACTTTATATGTACACATGTAGTGCTGTAAAAGCTACACTTTAATATGTATTTGATCTTTTAGTTTTGTGAGATTTTGATTTTTACTGTTTACTGAGCTTCTGCTCAAGCTTGTTGACTTGCAGATTACATTTTGGGCATTCAAAATATTATCACAACACCAGATGAAATATAATCATCACGAGGGGGCATGGTATATTGTAACTTGGAAAAAGACAGTTACACCCAAGTATCAATTCTTCCAACAGATATGAGCAATTCAATCACTACATCCTCATAAATATGTCATATTGAAGTATGATTTCAATGAATTATTGAATCTTCTGCAAGCCCTCATTAAATCAAATTGCATATCCATGATACCTGTATAGACCTACATAACCAGAAGATCAGACCTTCTAGAACCTGATATCTCTGAGGGTTCCTTTTGCCACCACCATCAATGATCTTGACTCAGTCTCTAGCCAGCTAGAGTATGAAATGTTTGAGAGCTGTTTGAAATTGTTCCTATTTTTTATTTGAGCAAGTAGGTAGGTTTGGTATATTCTTACGGCTTTTTGAATCTACTTTCCCGCATGCATTTGAAACGACTGTTGGTTTGGTAGATCCGGTAAGGTGGATATTATTGAACTAATGAGGATTGGTATTCGGACAAGAATTCAGATCTATCAAACGGCTTATATCATCAAATATGTAAGCTGCATACCTTTAGACCGATACATGGAGAACCTCTGGGACAGTTGAGGGTCACAAGTGCCCTACTACTGGTACCTGTGCCAGAGAACTCATTGAAAGTCAAACCACTCCACCTTTGAATTCCTTCCGCAGAATCTCGTCGCTTCTTCTTATGAAGGGTCGCACCCCACATGTAATCCAACTATGTAATTACAAAGGAGATAATCAATCAGTGAAAAGGTTTAGAACCACAAGTTGGTTTGATTGGATCATTTTCGTCTACGGGACATACTCTGATAGGGTAGGCCACGTTGGTCTTGAGATCAAAGTGAAAAAAATAACATTTTATTGAGGCAGCATAAGTGAATGCTTGGAATTTGCTTATGAAGGTAATGGTTTACACTGACCAACTTGAATGCTGAGTACGTTACATTCCTAATTTGAAAGCAAATAAAGGCTTCTAATAAGAGAACATCAATTGAAGATTGAAGGAATTTAATTTACGTACCTAATGATCCCGCTAGCTCCGGGATAACTCTTGATGGTCATCTTGATGATAAATTGGTATATGGGTCAGTCATGTACAAATCCCACCACATTGATTTTTCTTGAGTTTTAGTTAGGTAATCAGAAAGCATATTTACCCCATTGGCTCCGTTGCTTACTGTGACATCCCGGTAATCAATATTTTCAATTCGGTAATCTTTAGCAGTAGCACCCATGCTTCCGATTGCACATCCTAAAAGATGAAGAAAAGGTCAGAAGGATTATGTTAAATATTCTATGAATCAGTTCAGAAAGATGAAATCTGTGAAAGAGAATACGATTTGATGGAGATGTGAAGAAAAACTTACCGGTGGTACCGATACACTGTATGTTTCTGACTTTTAGTCCATTGATTGGGCTTTTGGCAGTCACGCATCTACCATTAAAGTCCCACTTGTTAGCCATTAGCATCGAATTCCATTCGAAGGGGTCACTAACTCATCGCCATTTTCCACCACGACTATTGATCATAAAGTGATGATTTCAGTCTAGGAAATCAAATATCTATATCAAAGAGAAGCCAAAACTTCACCATCGTGTACGTATCTGATCATTATATGAATTTTGAGCGTTCAGATAATTGACGTCAGTTTTTAATGCAACACAAAGTAAGATATGGAAAGAGCCTTACATATTTGAACCAGAAACATCAATCCCATCAGTTTCTCCAATGTAAGTAGCGTGAATTTCGAAATTATGAATATGAATGCTAGATAGTTTGTAGAAAGAAATTACAGTGAGATTTGGATAAAAAAAAAAGATGAAAAACCTAATTATCAAGTTAAAGAAAAAATGAATTGACTTTGTTCCAAGATCAAATACCAAATCTAGAAACAATAAAACAAGATTAATTATTGAATTTGTATAATTTAGATTTATGAACAAAACTTACGGAATTTTGGTGAGTCGTATAAATTGACCTATGTACAAAGAAACATGCAGAAAATTTCAAGAAAAAAGATTTTCTATAAGTGATTGTTTGATGAATTTATTGCAAGGGAAAAAAATTGGTACATACACCTGAATAATCAACCGTATCACAATTTTGAAATCGTACAAGTCTTGGTCGATTTGGATGAAGGCTAAGCTGATTTTATTTCCCAAAAAATAAAAAAACTCAGTATAATCAAAATGATAAACTCAATAGATACCTTTTCGTACGTTTCTTCTTGGTCTATATCTATCTCCATTACCATAAATCCTACCATTACCATTAAAAATAATCTTCAAAATGGATTTTTTAATGAGTATTTGATCCATCTACTGTTTATGAGAGTTACAAGAAGTGAACTTACATTTTTGCAGTGAGAGAATAACATCATGTTTCCCTCTAACTGGTTTACAAACAACAGACTACGTCAGGATAATTCTTTGAAATTCTAGTGTTGACTTCTGTTTTACCTTTGGATCATAAGGCATATAAAGATGACCACGAATGGTGAGAGTGAGAAATCGAGACTTGTTAAAAACAACCTTACTTGACCATCTATAGTTTCCTATTGATATGATATGATATATATGTGAGATGAGAAATCCAAAAAAACAGAAGCAGACTAAAATCAATTCAGTCAACTTGACTTTCTCATTACCTGCAGGAACAAGTATCACAGTATCAGAAGCCCTTGTGGTGATTGATTTTTGAGCACATTCGAATGCTTTCATCAAAGCCGGACCAATATCGGTTCGGTTGTTCGCCTTTTTTTCCCGTCACCAAACATTCATTATTGTTAGGATTTGTTTGATTGAATCAGTCCAGGAAATCAGACTGACCACAGCTCCAAAATCCAAAACATTACACGTCTTCACTGCTGAAACATCATGAAAGATGAACAACACAAGAATAAAGAGATATAAAAACTGAGATTCCATGTGGTTCAATCGATTTAGGTTCAGTCTTAAACCAAATATGATAGTAAGCAGTGGAGGAAAAATTATTGAAGATCAATAATAAAAGGATAGGCCTGAGGGACATTCCTTTAGATCCGAAAGAACTTCCGGAAGTGGCCTTCTTGAAGGAACATTTGTAAGAGCAGAAGATGTCTCCTCGGGTAACTTGAAAGGAAGTAATGCAAAGTAAATTAGGCTCGAAATGATTCTGACTCAGACAAGCTTGCCAAGACAGTTCACGCAGCATTTACAGCTCTAAAAGAACAGAGGTAACCTAAGTCAATTAAATTCTTGTGGACGACTTCAAGTAGTCAAGTTAAAGAGGTGAGCTACGTACAATTATACACCTCAAGCAAGCTTTAACTTCAAGATTGGGACCGAGATTTCCTTTGAAGAGGATGAAAGGGGTACCTCATCTCGCTTAAAGGGCTTCAAGAGGCCAAGGATGAGCCGCTATACCAGTCTTACTCTGGAAGTTAGTACACGTGCCAGAACAGATTCGCGAATCTCACCCAAAAAGATGTTGAGCTCACCATACATACATAAGCACATCTCTGCAGAATCGACTCCTAGAAATATGTGTCTGACAGCAATAATCGTCAGTTCACTTGCATTTACATAGCTTGTTTACCTCTTCAGATTCCCACAACATATCCGAGGGTAAAGAGGGGTAAAGAACCAGCACTATTTGAAAACTCCCGAAGGGCACATTCAAACAACGTCGCTCATATGAGGAATCAAGCCGCTTTAGCATAATGATACAAAGTGAAAGTGGTTGATGCTCACATCATCTTACAAAAAGTACAATGCCTCAAGTCTTCAACTTAAACTTTGAAAACCAACTTGAATGAGTTTAGAAATTTCTCAAGGTTTCCCATTTCCTCATCGATAGAGTTGCCGTGACTTGGTCTTCTCTGATCAAGGGGATAAGTAAGCATGCTTTTTTGGAACAGTACAAAAGGATGTGCCCATTGGAATCGATGTAATGAATGGTTTTTGAATGCGGGATCGGCGGAAGATTTCAGTTTAGATTGCTTGTGAGTGTGACATGCTGCAACGTACCTATCTTATAAAGTAAAGAATGTTGAAGCTTTGATGATCATATTCAACTGGAAACTTTCATCATTTTCCAAAGTTACATTCAAGGCCCACAAGAGTTTCATAGGTTTCCAATCTTTAACCAATACTTTGACCAACATACAAATCATCACTATCAATTCACAGGTATCAAAATCATATCACATTTTCATAAAACATTCATCAATTCGTACTTCATAGAGGAAAAGAAAAAGATTTGATTCGAAGAGAAAAAAAAACAGTAAATCTACAATTACATAGATCGATGAATTGAAAGAGATTTGAAGTACGACTGATTTGGTTATGATACCCTAAACGTCCCAAACCAAAAAACCAAAACCAAAAAAACGTTGAATATTTTTTCATCAAAGTAATCCAGGTTCTTCTTGAATTGATCTTTTAATTTTAAGTAAGATAGTAGTTTTCCAAGCATCTAATTTCAACATTGAATCAAATTCAGCAACATGATTCGTATAAGATTCTTGATCCCCTGATTCGATTGAATCCATAATCGAACATAAAAATTTATATTCTCTTTGTTGAGTAAAGTTCGGATCTAATTCTCCATAATTCTCTAATGCACGTTTCGAACTAACAATATCCTATAAATCCAAAAAAGAAAAAAAAGGAAAACATCAGAATCGTTCAGTTTCTTTTTCAAAATAAAGAAATGGTTTAAAAATTTCAGTACTGACTCCTGTACAAAGATGACAAAGAGCTGCTTTGAAAAGGTATTCTTTTACACTATATCTTGTTAATGGACTTGATAAAGAATTACGAGCCACTAATTCAAAGTTTTCAATAGCAATTGAATATTGTTCTAATTGAGCTGCAATATCAGCCGCATCTTTAAAACAACCATTAGCAGTCCTAATCCCCCCACCAAGAAAAAAAAACACAAAAGAGATCAATCTTCAATAGAAAGAAAAGGAATGGGATGGGAATGACATACGCATGAGCATCTTCTTGTGAATACCATTCACCTGCTTGTAAGAATGCATCTAAAGCTCCTTGTAAATCACCTGAATCTTGTTGAAAGATTCTTGCAATATCTTTTTGACGATCAGCAGCTTGTCTGAATCTACCTTTTTCAATTAAGATTTCCACTGTATGTCTTAAACAACCAATACTAACTAAAACCCCCCAAAAGAAAAACAAAGATCAAAGAAAAAAAGAAGTATTAGATTGAATAAATAGATCAAAGTGAGCGATAAGAAAGAATTGAAACTTACGTTCAGGGTTCGATTTGTTATAAGATTTAGAAGCTGACCAAAACTCATTTGAAGCATCATCCTTTTCACCTAATTTTAAACTACATTCAGCCGATTTACAAAACGCATCACCTGATTCTTTCCATTTTTTTTCTAATTTGAATTGGTTTGCAGCTGATTGATATAATTCTCTGGCTTCTTCTAACTTTGAGGTTGATGTACCTCCGAAACCGAAAAAAGATGAAGTTGAAGAAGTTAATTTTCGATCGGCTTTGGCTAGTGTACTTTTTTTGGTTTTGGAAAAGAAAGAGATGGAATGTGTGATGTCAGTGGGGTTGGTGCTCAGGAGTGAAAGATTGGGGGGTGGACACTGACTCGTTTGCTGCTGATGGCATGATGATGGATGGATGGTTTGTTGATAGTTTAAGTTGAGAATGAGAATGAGTAGGATTGGTTTGTTGAGTGTTACTGTTTGGTTTGTTGACCGTTGGTTCGAAGTCCCTAGAGACCAAACCGAATCGAAACGGAGTTTGACAGAAGGTGAAGATGTCATGGATATGCTTATAGATAGCTGAATATGCTTATATAAAGTATCAGTCCTTGTTCTCTTTGATGAAGCTGTTCAACTGACTAATAAGACCTTCCTCACTTTAATTTAAACCAATTCATCAAAACACAAAACCAAGCACTGAACCCACCAAACTCAGAACCACATCTTGGTCAACTTTCAAGCAAACACCACATCGATCGATCATGTCAACTAACAGTAATTTCCTTGATGTTAGTCAATCTTTTAAACACCAAAACTTAAAACATTTCAAAGAAGAAGAAACTGATGAGTTTTTTTCGATAATTTATTGGGTTTTAGAAAGCATGTGAAATTGTTAGAACTGCAATAGATGAAGATCTTAAACAGAATTGGGAAGAAAGTTTAAAATTATATAAAAACGCATTAGATTATTTTCATATGGCATATAAATGTAACGTGGATTTTTAAATAAAAAGTTTTTATGATATCCAAAGAAAAATAAAAAATTCATTCTGATCGAAATATTGAACTTCTTTTTTTGGTTTTTTTTTGATGGATTGATTTTGAAAAAACTTTAGATGAAAAGAATCCGAAATTAAAAGATTTAATTAAGACTAAGATGGAAGAATATTTAGAAAGAGCCGAAAAATTAAAAACTCATATTCAAGTAAGAATTCTTTAACCTCTCTCTGACATCAAACCCTCAAAAAAAGAATCTGATTTACTGTTTTTTCGTTTTTTCGTTTTGATCTTTTGATTTTTTTATAGAGTTCTGAGAATCATAAACAAGGTAAACAAGCAGTTGGTGCAAATGGAAAACAATCAGGTAATGATGATCAACCAACGTACGAAACCTTTTTTCAAATCACTCAAACGAAACAAAAAACTCAACCAACGCGTCTTATGAAATGAAGTTCGTTGATTGAATAATTTGATTTTGATTCTTCTTTAGTCAGAATGGTGAAGGAGATGATGCAGAAACCAAAAAACTAAGAGGAGCTCTAAACGGTAAGACATTTTTTTTGTTGGTTCAATTCCCAACCCAAACCCAAACCTGTCATTCAAACCAAACTTTCTTTAAACCAACCCAGGTGCGATCCTAGCCGAAACTCCTAATGTGAAATGGGAAGATGTAGCAGGCCTAGAAGGAGCCAAAGAATCATTGAAAGAAGCAGTGATCCTACCTATCAAATTTCCACATCTCTTCACCGGTAAACGTACACCTTGGAGAGGTATACTTTTGTATGGACCACCGGGAACAGGGAAATCGTATTTGGCTAAAGCTGTGGCGACTGAAGCTAAGAGTACTTTCTTTTCGGTTAGTAGTTCTGATTTGGTGAGTAAATGGATGGGAGAAAGTGAGCGGTGCGCATTGTTTTTTTCTTTTATAAACCCAATCTTTCTCTTTTTTCATCTTTTTATCAATCATCAAAAAGGGTTGCTTCTTTTGAGAGAGACTGAGAAAGGTTTGATTTTCTTTTTTTTTGGGGGTATTTTAGATTGGTTAAACAACTCTTTACAATGGCAAGAGAAAACAAACCAGCGATTATCTTTATTGATGAAGTCGATTCACTTTGTGGTGTAAGAGGTGAAGGTGAATCAGAAGCAGCACGTCGAATCAAAACTGAGTTTTTGGTTCAAATGAATGGAGTTGGAAATGATTCTGAAGGAGTCTTGGTCTTGGGTGCCACTAATGTATGTTTTCTTGATGTTTTTTTCTCTCTCTTTCGAGTTTGGGTTCTCATTTGTGTGAGTTTTTTTTCGGGTTGACCGATTGATTCGGTTTCTCTTTTTGGAATTATTAGATTCCTTGGGCACTTGATATTGCGATTCAAAGAAGATTTGAAAAACGGATTTTTATTCCTTTACCTGATTTAGATGCAAGAAAACGAATGTTTGAATTGAATGTAGGAAACACTCCTTGTACTTTAACTCAACTTGATTATCGTCAACTTGCTAATCAATCACAAGGGTTAGTTTTCTTGTTTTTTTTGAGTCTTTTGGAGGGGTTGGGAATAGATTGGATGATTGATGAGCTTTTGGTTGGTTTTTAGGTATTCGGGTTCGGATATTGCTGTGGTGGTTAGAGATGCTTTGATGCAACCTGTTCGTAAAGTCTTAAGTGCAACTCATTTCAAATGGGTAAGTCATCCCAAACACTATCAAACCCCTCCGTTCACCTTTCTTAGTGATTCATTTTTTTGGTTGATTGTTATCCAGGTGATTACAAAAGATTCAGAAGGAAAACAAATCAAGAAACTGACACCATGTTCACCAGGAGATGTAGGAGCAGAAGAAAAGACTTGGTCAGATTTAGAAGCTGATGAATTATTAGAACCTGCATTGAACTTGAATGATTTTATTAGAGCTATTCGAAATACGCCTCCTACTGTTAGAGAAGAAGATGTGAAGAGACATTATGAGTTTACTAATGAATCAGGTGCTGATGGTGCTTGAGTGGGAGATTTTTTTGGTTGTGTGTGTGTGTGTTAGAGATGGAAGAGATAGGTTTTGGGATGTAATGTGTGGTTTGTTTTGAATGAAAAGATTGTATGATCATTGAAGATTTTTGATTTTTCTTTGTCTTTGAGTTTCTTTTTTTGTGATAAGAAATTGAAATTAGTTGAAGGTTTTGAAAGGTACATAATAAGTTTTTTTGAAGATAACCATGTATGTTTAGAAGATATTTGATCAGAATGTAGATAGATATAGTTTGGATTAGTGTTTTGATTTTATATTTTTCATTTTATGACTGGAATTTGTTTTTCATAAGAATTCAACTTGAGTCAAACATACTAATTCGCTATAATCTCAATTTCAATTTCAAAGAAACACGATGAGATCAGATGAGAAAGCTTTATCATTAAGATTCACTTTAATGAAAACTTATTCATTTAGATTAGATTCACCTTTAGTTCCAGTACTTTATGTTAGATTTCCATTTAATTCGACTTCCACTGTAAATGCAACTTCATCTTCTCCTAATCTAAACACTACTTATATTGATATTATTCGAATCTTGGATCCTGAACATCGGTTGGTTGCATTCAAACTGATTCCATAAAACTTCATCCAAATTAACCTTTTCTTTTTTTTAGTGAACCGTTCATTTCGATTGGTAGATTACTTTTGTTAATCGAACCAACTCCAATCTCACCTATCACAGCTATAGAAATTTTAAAAGAATTAAATCAAAACTTAATCAATTCATCATCATCATCATCATCATCAAACTTGTATAATCCAAGCACCTTTAAACCGGTTTATAGTTTACTTTTAAATGGTTTAGCACCTTTTCCAGATCTTTGGGTGAATTTAAAATTAGCAAGACAGTTTTCAATTCGATTTGGACTTTTGAAAACCGATGATGAGGATGGAGGAAATGAGAATGGAATGTTGGCTAGGTTATTGGATTGGAATTCGAAGTCGATTTGGTCTTTGGTGACGATTTCTTCGGTTAAAGAACCTATTCAAACTGGTGAACTTGTTTCAAAGTTTGTGGTTTTTTTAATTCTGGAAGTTCTTTTTGATTTTTTTTTCTGATTTACTTTTTTTTGTTTTTTGGGTTTGGGGGGTTTTGGGTAGGATAGTTGGAGAATACCTGAAGATGTTTTACCTTTATGTGATTATTCTTTAGCTAGTCTTCAAGAGTAAAGTTCATTTTGTCTTTTTATAAACTTCAATTTCTTCATATATTCCAAGATTTCTTCAAATACTAAAGGCTATTCTTTTTCTTGGGGGGGGATTTAATAGAACAAGTTTTGATCGAATCGAAATAAGACCTAAAACGATAGGAGAAGATGAATTATTTAGGATACCCATTCAAATACCAAAGCAAGATAAACTAAAGATACCGAATTTTAAAAGTTTTCCAGATACATTATTGTCTGAAATATGTTTAATTTCATCTGATTTATTGATCCAAGAAACCTCATCTGATCAGATTCATGAAGAAGATGAAGAAAAGTTTATGTTTAGAGTTTTAAGGGCTTTAGAATCATTAGGTTCATTAGTTTTGAATAATTATTTGGATTTAGATTCTTGTGATCAAGTTTGTTTGAAAGATCAAGTTGATTCTTTAGGAATCTTATTAATTTCAGTTTGGAAAAATAAAGTTCTTGGGTATCAGAATGATCAATTGATGAAGACTTCTTTAATTAAATCAGATTCAGATTCGAATTCGAATGGTTCAGAAAATTCTAGTTTAAGAACTGATCCAAGTCTTTCAGATCTAAATCAAGTTTCTGAAAACATTAATTTACCGAACATGAAGAAGATTGAAAATAAATTAGAATTGATTGAAATTAAATTAGAAGAAGTTTTATTATTTCAAAAAAATCTTCATGATCTTAAACCAATTGTTAAAAGTAAGATTTCATTATCAACTTTTGGTTTAGATTTCTTGTTGATCAATCAGTCTATATGGATTTGGATTGGTTTAATTGGTTTAGCTTATGTTTTGGGTAGGATACATGTTAATGAATAAATTGTAGGAACAAATTCAAAAAGTGTGTACTAGCTGGCTTGGTAAGTTTGTCTTCAAGTTTTGATTAGGTATAGTTTTTTTAGGACAAATAGACTCAAATCAAATTCAGTGTATTGTTTTCATAGGTTTATTGTTTGTACTCTAATCATATTTTAAAGTAGTTGTGAAGAATAATGTAGTGAATGATTTATTGTTTGAAATCTTTTAGAAAAATCCTTTTTTTATGATTGATCTGAACCTGGATGGTTTTTTTGGACCCAAAAATGTCGAGTCAAGGAAATTTGTCGAGGTTTATGTGTGAAGTATTTAAGAGCGTGTTGGTTTACAAGCGCTTCCTGAAGAAAAATCACATTTTAAAAAGAATAGGAATCACAGAATGTGAAATGCGTTACTTAATGACTACTTCCGGAATCCCACCAAAGGCAGGATGTGGTATATTACAAAAAATCGATTTTGAGCACTTTGATGGTATAGCATAGAGATATGTATCTTTTGTGTCAAGCCGTTAGCCAGGCATTGAGCAATTCATCGCCAGTCATATTTCTCACTTCTGTTTGTCCCAAGACTCAATGATGAGACACAATCAAACTGATAGAAATCACAAGCTGTGGTGCATCTCAAAGATCTACTCAGCTTGTCCAAGGAATGCAGACGCGTCAATATATACTGGTAAGATTTTTATACCTATAAACCCACAGTTGACTTCCTTTGACCCTTATATATTATGCAGTTTCACTTGCATGTGATTCTGAAGACGTATATTCACTATTTAATGATGCCAAAAGGTTTTGAGAGTTTTTGGTTGTTTACGCGAAGGGCGGGCCACATGCGCCTCGCGCGCTAGCCTGATGGTTCAATGCTTCGTGGCACTCAGGCATGGCCGTTTCAAAACACAGCGCGCCTGCAATACGAGGGATAACCATAAGGAGATCTTGATAGATATACATATTGTTTTGCGTCATAATGTGATTATTCCTTTTGTTAGAGTACCTGTTGATCTACAGATGAGAGTTTGCCCTCTTAATTTTTTGTTAAAATAAACTGATTTATTGGAGAATCTTCTTGTGAAAGCTCTTTAGAGAATCATCAAATTGATTATCGCTTAGAATTGGTCTCTTCTTTCGGTTCTGAGTAATGAAGCGTTATATTTATAATTTATAAATCTTTTTTCAATCTTCGGTTTTCGGGTGGATTTTATTTGAAGTAAGATGATAAGCAATTCCGAATTAGAATAATTGAATCCTTTATTTGATCACTATGTTAGAACTAAATGAGGAGTATAATCATATAAAAATTTTAACAACCTTCTTGGCTTGGAGAGACCTTGAACACCAACCTGCATTTTATTTCCAAAATCATCATACGCAAAATTGAAGGTTCAAAAAAATTGAAGCAGTTGATTTGATTGAGTTTTTTTTTCGTATAATGAGAGTACTCAGGATGAGATTTACTCGGATTCATAATTTAATTTTATATGGTTTCTTAATTTTTTACATTTCATTTATTATTACTTCAAATGAGCTTTATCGAGTGCCTTTATACTCTCGTCGAATTCAGTCGAGTGATCAAGACCAAGGAAGTTCGCTTCTTACCATGCAGCGTATCAGAAGATCGAGGAAACGATGCCATACGGTTAGGGTTGGATCTTTGAATGGCTGTCGTCCAAACCCGAAATTAATGAAGACTCGTAGAGATCATATAGGTGAGCAAAATTGGTTTTCAGTTGAAGAAACCCTCAACGTTTTTATATCATTGGAGTTTTACTGAGAATTTAAATCTGGAAATAGAACTTGAGAATGTTGAGGATGTAGAATATTATGGTGTGATTGAAATTGGAACTCCAAGTCAAAAATTCAAAGTCCTTCTAGACACTGGTTCATGTACTTTTTGGTTAACTGGTTCATCCAGTTCATCTTCCGATCAAAATTCTTCACTGAGTCTTAACACCATTGGACCCTCATTTGATCCTTCGATATCTTCATCTTTTAAAATCGGTCCTAAACTATTTTCAGAAGCATATGGAGACAACTCTATGGCTACTGGAGTTGAGGCAACTGAATCAGTTTCATTTGGATCTTATTATGCTCAAAATCAAAAATTCGGACTTGTGAATGTGACTACTTCAGGGATTTTTATGGGTGATGCATCAGGTTTAGTTCAACTTTTTCGATCATATTCCTCCTACATAGCTTGATGAAGGATTCGATGAGATTGACTGTTCCATCATGAATCGACATTTGTTATAATATAGGTATAATGGGAATGTCATTTGGAGATCAAAAAAATTCAACACCATTTTGGATCTCTGCAGGGATCAAAACCTTTTCATTCGGTTTAACTAGATTTAATCACTCTTCATCTAAAATCAATCAACCTGGTGGAATTCTAACATTAGGAGGTTTAAATACTTCATTATTTACTGGAGAAGTAAATTACGTAAAAGTTACCAAGAAAGATTATTGGCAAGTCTCACTTGATCACGTGACTGTCAATGGTATCAAGATTGAAGACTCGATCAATAATCAAGCTTTTTTGGATACCGGAGAGAGCATTCTTCTTGCACCGAGTGATGTTGCAAAGGCAGTATATTCATCTATTCCTGGAGTGGAATCAATCAATGATGGTGGTGAAGGTAATGTTTCATTAGTCTTGTCTATTCTAAAAGTGAAGGTATCAGGTATCTGTCTAATAAGAGTTACTTCATCTAGAAACTTTTTACCTTCCATGTTCTACAAAGGTAAAATTTGAAATGAACTTTGGAGGACAAACTTATGAAATTCAACGAGATGACTTTGTGTTACAGTCTAGTAAAGGTGATATTGATGACAACTTATGTCTGGGAGCAGTATCAGGAACAAGTTTATTCGATTCTTGGGTAGTAGGTGATATTTTCTTGAGAAATGTTTATACTGTTTTCGATTCTAGTGCGCCTGCGAGAGTTGGGTTTGCAAGACCGGTTAAGAATTATCAATCTCTACTTGGTGGGCATCCTTTGAATTGAATGATCTGCTAGATACATAGAGTCTCTTGGTTTGAAAGTTTGTAAAGTTTAGGATTCTGTACTTGTGCCTATCTCTTTTGTAAAGGTATTATAATAGGGGGATGGGGAATTTTACACTGAGTGATTTACACCGAATCTCGATGTGTAAAAGAGGTTCAGTGTAAAATTCAAAGGAGGCGGGGGGGTTCTTTGAATTTTACACTTGGTTCAATTTTTTTTATTCAGTTAGGGTGTTCAAACCTGTGCAAGAAATGTGCAAGACCGACGTGCAAGATCCGTGCAAGATCCGTGCAAGATTTTTTGCACTAATCTTGCACAGTAATTTTTTTGACAACCCGAGTTATTGTGTTCCAAACCGTGCAAAAACCGTGCGAGACCGACTCTTGCAAGTTTTGTGCAAGATCCGTGCAAGTTCTATTCATATCTTGCACAGAACTTGCACAAAACTTGCATGAATTGATTTTGAGGTTTGAACACCCTAAGTGTTAAAAAGTGAAGTGTAAAAAGCGAGGTGCAAAACTCATGCACCCCGTCGAGATATATATTTTTACACCGGACCTTTTACACATGTGAGTGGGGTGTAAAAATATACGGTGCAAAATACGATGGACGAGAGAGGAGGGTGGAGGACAAACCTCAAACCCCGAAACACAAACCTGTATTACCCTGTACAGATACTCGATTTTCGAGTAACTCTCATCAGGCCTCACCAGAACATCATAGAAAGCATCTAGACGATGCCAAAGACGATTCCAGACGGCTCCTGATTGAGAATGCTATTGAGTCATTGGATCAAGACTCAAATTAAGTCTCTAGATGACCAAAAACAATCAAAAATTATGCATTGTTCCACAAGCTTTTGAAATTCGATTTGCTGCTTCAAATCCAAATAGTCTTTTGGATTCGATTTCTACTTTTAGGTCTTTTTCTGATCATTGTTTAGACATCGATGTTGAATTGAAAATTCTCGCATTGGATTGAAACTTTGGAATTTTTACTATCTTCAAGGTGAGTCTGATTGCCTTCTCTACCATGTCTTCCTAAGGCTGATCTTTTGGATTATGACAGACTGTAACAATCATGTGATCCAAATTCCAATCTAAGCAGTCTTTGTAAAGTTGGAAAATTGAATATCTTAATCATCTTCTTGTGGAGAACAATGTGAAGCAAAAAGACATATTGTGTGTTGCATGCCTACTCTCATTTACAGATCTCGTACGAAAATGATGTATTCCATTGAATGTAGCTTCCATTTTGATTATACTGATTGATGTTGAGAAGGTGAGACAAATATTGATTGATATTTGTCTGTGATGAAAAGTGAAAGATGATGATTTTTCAAAGCTAATCTTTTTGTTTGATAAAAAGTCAAAAGCATCCATAGTTATTACTTATCACCTCGATGTTGAATTGTTTTTGGTCATCTGGAGACTTACTTTTTGTTTTGATCCAATGACTCAATAGCATTCTCAATCAGGAGCCGTCTGGAATCGTCTTTGGCATTGTCTAGATGCTTTCTATGATGTTCTGGTGAGGCCTGATGAGAGTTACTCGAAAATCGAGTATCTGTACAGGGTAATACAGGTTTGTGTTTCGGGGTTTGAGGTTTGTCCTCCACCCTCCTCTCTTGTCCATTGTAGCAAAAATCACCCATCCAACCCCAAATTGCAATTTTGCACCTACGAACTTTGCACCGAACCATGGTGTGTAAGCTAATTCCGTGTAAAAATGCCAGTTGCCCCGGTATAAGTAGAATTTTACACCGGGAATGGCACACCACATTGCAAGAAAGAAAAACAACTCAATTGCATTTCGAGCAGCAAGTCAACAAGCTTGTATAACATTCCAAACAAAACATCAAGCTACTTCGCTTTGAGGCTACAACATATCAAACATCATCTTTTTTTTTTTGCCAAATCTCGCCTTTCCGCTGCAGCCTTCCGCTTCTCTGCAGCTGCAGCCTTGCGCTTCTGAGCCGCAGTGGGGCCGCTCTCTGCTTTCACAGTAACCGACCTTTTTGTCGTTGGTTCTACAATGGAGAGAATAGATGACCAATCAGTAAACGGCACACACCATAAATCAAAAAGGCAGTTGTACTTACCAACTGGAATTAAAGGATCAAGCGCCTGCTTCTGCACCAACAGCTTAATCTTCAAATTACCGGGCCTCACGACAGGGTCCACAGCAGAAGATTGAGCCGGAACCATTATGTCAGGATCCGGTTTGATACCCACGTTGAGATTATCCAAAGCTCGAGGTTGAGGCACTAGAGTTTGATGATCAAGTTCTAGATCATCAAGTTGGTCATGACTCTCCACCGATGGAGAGTCAGGTATTTGTTGAACATGTCAGTCGAGTGCATCCAAAACTGAAGGAGAGTCCGGCGGTACTTCTTGAACATTGATGTTGAGTTCATCCAAATCGGAAGATTGAGCAGGTGAATGTTTATCTTTGATGTCGTCAGTGGTGGCAGCCGTGCAATCATCTATATTGTTGGCTTTGAGGGAGGGAAGACCTCCTCCAAAAGGCGCGGTAGCAGTTGGCATGGAGAAAGGGATGCTGTGGTGGCGCGTAGGAAAGTTTTTCATCATGGAGATAATCGCTGCTTCAATCTTTTTCTTCTCTTCCTCAAAGGGCACCCTTGAGTAACAGACCCAAGAGGTGTTATCTGAGCACCCAGCGATGCTGTCGACGTCGCGAGATATAAGCTGAGCAAACCCTGCGTTCTTGCGCTCGTCATAGTGCCAAACGCCAAGGATCCCTTCAACGGATCGCACAACCTGGCACCAATAGTGATGACTTCCCCAAAAACCTCGGGTAACCATCTGATAATGGGCATTGCCCAGTATCAGGCGAGCTGGCCAGTCAGTATGCCCCATGTAGCTTTCGCGGTCTGTTCTGTGTAACGAGGTAACATTATCCAAAAGGAAATAAAGGTGCAAAGGAGGTGAGCTTCCATCGATTCTCAAGCGCTGATCAAGCATACTGAGGTCTTCTGCGTCGATGGATGGTGCAGGTGCGGACTTTGGAGCCCCCGGATGGCATTTTCGGCATATAAGACCTGGTTGAGACAAGATACCGTCGTTGAGCATTTCACGCAACAGAATTCCCAAATCTGCGTATGACAGCACGGCGTCCCTGAACATCGAAGGAAACAATCGGATCACACCAGTTGGTCTAGTCGTGGTCATCGAATGCTTGTCGTTTTGAGTGCATACCAAGGTCTTGGCGACGTTGACAGCAAAGAGAGGCAAGAACGAAGGGATCGCGAGTAAAATGTCCATGAATCCATCAGCAGAACACATAGCATCAGACTTGTAGGAGGCCTCGTTGATATTCTGAATGGCCTTATGGATAATGTTTTCACCTCGGGTGCAGACTGCCAGAATGTTCTTGCCTTGTCGTAATTCGACATCGCATCGGCTGGTAAAGTGGCGCATTATCGCAGTGATCAAGTTAGATCCATTGACGTGAGAATGTTGACTCCAAAGAGGGCCGAAAAGAGCAAAGAGAGATTCCAAGGTCGCCGAAAGCCAGCAGCAGTTGTAAGTGCCAGGTGTCCTTCCGTAAATATAGGACTGGTAGGTGGTGAGAGGGCTGCGGTTGATATTTTGCAAACCTTGAGGTCGGCCTGGACCTTTTTGACTTTTAGGCTTTTTGATTTTACCTTCTGAATCGTCCAGGAGTTCTTTCGTAGTGTCGGGTGGCCGCCCATCGTTGGCAACATATCGACGTTTGGTTGGTTTCGCCATTCCTAACGACGTCACCACATCCTCCCAGTTCTTCATGCTCGAACCATAAGTTACACTCACTCCCTTCAGGCGAGCTTGATAGTCACGCTCTAAACTCAAGACCAAAGCAAATAGTTGTATCATGCCACCAATGATACCGCACTTTCCCTTGCTGAAAGAAACCAATGTCAGAATTGAATGAATGAAAATTAAGCCAAAAATCCTCACGTACCAAAGCATGTAATAGACGCGGTGCAGTGATTCTTGCGCGTTCGTGGTTGACGGTAATTCTGGGCGTCTGCATGGACGGTCTCTGCCTCCGTCGTCGTCGTTGTCATCACTGCCAAGTAACGGAGGATCGTCTTTGGGTATTCTCTTCCGAGCTGGGAAGAGCATTGCTTGGATGTCGGCGGCATACCACCAATCTATCCACCTTTTGGCCAAAGGGAATACTTGACGTAGTTCTTTGAACCTGGTTTCGAGGTCAGGGCGTCCTGGTTCATCCGGTAGACGCAGCTCTCTGCAGTACTTTTCCCAAGTACCCTGAAAGAGAAGTGACATATCAGTTTATGAGAGATACCCGTGAGAATTAATATGGATTACTTACCACCATATTAACTTTGACCACTTTGTTGTGTTTAGCCATGCGAGTGACGGACTGACGAAAATGTTGAACACAACCATGTAATTTGGATAGAGCAATGTTTCGATCATGGACGTTGAAGACCTCCATATATGCTTCGATGAATCCTGATTTCTGTGCTTGAGAAAAGTCGACTACCTGTTCAACAAGCCTTCTCTTTTCCCTGTCAGACAATGTTGTTTTTTGAATTTGACGAAATAAAGTGGCAAAATGGGCCTTGTAATGGTCATTAGATAGGCCTCCGAGCCAAGAGAGGAGAATGGGAACCCAGCGTTGAAGTTTCTCGTTATACATTGATGTGGTTAATAAGTAACCGTTTTCGAAAAACTTATACGTGACGTCGGAAAGGAGTCCTCCTGAATATGCCTCGCTATCCTCGTCTTGAAGTACCAGAAATTCGGCCATCCACTTGGTTTGGAAGGTAAAATGGTCCTCGTGGTCCATTGAGACCGAAATGACCTTCATTCCTTTCCTGTAACATCAAAGAGATTCACTCTCAGCCACGCTGTGGTGATCAGAACACACCATCACCCTCACCTTTTATATACACGAAGAAGGGCTCGAGAAGCTCAAAGTCTTACTCACTGAGGGCAGATTTCAAGCTCGAGTCAAGTTCATAGGCAACAAAGGGAGCCAAAACTTAATCATGTATCTTTCATTTGTAAGAGATATCATATCTAGTAAAGTTAGACACGATAACAAAACTTAATCATGTAGTTAAACAAAGTATGATAATGAGATATAACACGGGACGAGGATTTGGGTTGAGTAACAGATAAGATAGCAAATTTTAAAAGGGGATCGAACAGATTCGAGTCTGAGAAAGGGGTAATAGAAAAGTCACCTTTCAGACTTAAAGTTACAACTAGATCATAACTACATCTCGAGATCGAAATAGAGGAGAATAGGACGAAGATGGAAGACCGAGTCTTAGGGAACATACAGCACAATAAGTGAAAGTATCAAAAGAGTTTTCAGAATTGAAAATGTCGTGACAGTCTAGAATCCGAGATAAAGAAGGATGAGAAAGTTTGAAGATAGTAGTTAGATAGGTGGAATAGATTTGATGGCAGTCGCATCTATGAAAAAAAAAAGAAGACAAGACTCACCTGTCATATCTTAAATCAAATATCAAAATTGAAATTGAAAAACGATAGGAACTTCGATCTTCAGGTTTAAAGATAAGCTGGATAGGGATTGGAACTCCAAATCGAAGGTAGATTGAGTATGATGTAGATGGAAGTGTTGAGAGGATCTATTTTGAGGTATACATGTAGAGAAGACAATCAGAAAGGTGTCAGTGGGTTGGGAAATAAAACAAATCAGAAAGGGAGCTATAAGACTCACCTCTTGGCATGCAGGATTAGAACTAGAGATCGAAAATTGGAATAGGGAATCGATTTTAGAGTGAAGTAGTTAAGTTGAGATAGGAGGACCGAGAAGCGAACAGGGCAAGATCACACTACTGGAGGTATGGATATTGAGTGAAAAAAATCGGAACTAGAGATGGAAGTTAAAAGAAGAGAGAGAATGATCAAGACAAGAAAAGAATAAGAGAAGGGAAAGAAAGACTTACGTAGTAAAGGAGCTGACGAAACCACTTCGAGAACGATCGGTCGGAAGAAAAAACGTTGAGGTTGGAGATTGAGGCCGCGTCATGAGCTAAAAGGGCGTGAGTGAAAGGTATAAGAGGGGGTTGCTCGAAAGGGAAAAGAAAAGAGGGCATCCAATTTTTGATATCCAATTTGTGGTATACGATTCTTTGTGTCTGAGTGTGTGTCTGTGTCTTATTCGAGTTAATTTGATAAAGTGTACTGTTCTTTTGTCAATCGGAGAGAAATCGAGCTATTGTGTTCTTTTTTAGAAAGTTAGTGTAAAAGAAAGGATTGTTAGCAGTTTCTTTAAAAGAGAATTCGACTATTGTGTTTCTTTTATTGTTATTTAAAGATAAACGTGACTTACTTATTGGAGCACGAAGTAGTTAGAGGATTAGGGTGTTGAGCTTTTTTGCGTTGCTTTGAAGTCCTGTGGATGCTGAGTTTGGTTACAAATCAGTCGACAGATTGTAAAGAAGTCGAATTTTGAAGTCAAATCAATAAACCCGCCTCTTGATTCAAGTCGAGGCCGGGTCGAGTCGGGCTCTGGAATTCATTCCAGTCCTGTACAAGTCGTGTTACAACCTTGCAAAAGATCAACAAACTCGAGTTTACATATCTCTATACTACAAACTCGTGAAGAGTTGTGTGTAATAGTGTTAGACTCCGCTCTGTGCTGCGCATCCAACCGCGTGGTGTAAAATAGGTTTTGGGAAACCTTTAAAAGACAAAGAAGTGAGAGTAGAGACGCCTCATCTCAAATTTCGAAAGCAATTTTGAAGGACGAGGGCAGCTTCACAGCGCCTGTAGTTTCATCCGCTCTCTCGAGTGGTGATTCTTCCCCTCTCCGGCTCAGCCTACGCTACACTGCGTAGGAGTTCTACATCTGGTGACTCCACTGGGGCACTCGAAACAACTTCTGCGTCTCCGCAGGTGCTCCAACGCATCGTAGTTTCAACAAATCATCAAACTTTATATATCTCAAACATTACATTTCGACCTCAGTTAAAATCTCAAATCTTAAAATGTCATCTCAAGACACTCTTGGATCATCAACGGATCCTAAACAAATTGCGGCAGAGAATGCTTTGTCTGTAGTTGGTAAAAGTGGTGGTACTAGTGTTCAGGAAGGATCTAGTCAAAACAAACAGGGGGTATATAGAGAGAAGGAAGGAAGTGAGGATGACTCGGGGGATGATGTTACAACAAAAGGAGTGGCAGGAATGGAAGAAGAGGAGATAATTTCAATTGATAGTGCCAAAAGAATGGTAAAAGCTGGGGAAATTACAGTTGAAGAAGCAAAGGATTATATCAAGGAGGCTGAAGTACAAGCAGAACATATGAAGAAATTATTAAAGTTATTAGAGGAGGCAAACGAAAAGTCAAAGAAGGGAAGAAAGGGAAAGAAGAAGTGTCGCAGTAGTAGTAGTGGCTCGAGTTCGGATAGCAGTAGTGAAGAGAGTTCAAGTTTGGAAGATGAAAGCGAAGTGGAGGTCAAAAAGAAGAAAAAGAGTAAGAAGGGAAAGAAGAAGGTTGTAAAAATTGAACCACAAGATTCAGAGTTACGGTTTAGTCAA